TCTGAAAGACCTTTGTTTTATTCGCCACGCGTTTTCAAGCTTTCAATAATTTTAAATTGTGTATGCTCAAAATCTTTGCATTTTCAATTTAAATTGAAATAAAACACCACAGTTAACCAATATGATTAAAAATAAAATGGGTAACATTGTGATCGTTATTTAATAAAAAAATTAAAAAAATATATTTACAAAGAAAGAAGAAATATTTAAGCATTACATACCTTATAAAAATAGGTTCCAAATATATTTTATAAGTAAGAAAACCCTGAAATAGGACTTAAAAACAGCAGTGAACAAATTTAAAGCACTCAACACAACATAAATTCAGTTGAGAGGTTATGTCTGTATTTAGTACCGCGTAAATTACCGGGGTGGTACGCACACTGGTTCGCTCTTATGTGGCCAAGGCCTTTATTTTAATATATCAATCAAAACTGATAATTTTATTATTGCCTTGAAACATTCCGAGCAAGAATCGTGTACTATATTATTGATATAAGTCACAATAACTGTTGGCAATTTAAAAGTTTATTTTATTTACAAATAATTGTACTTATTTTTTTCTTTGGTATATTTACCAGAAATTAAAATTAGAGTTTTTAATAGGTTATAATCATGAACCTATGCGTAACTCTGATGATATTGCTTTCGCGATTGGGACTACCTAACTATAATTTCAAGTATTGACGCGATACCGCAAACTTACCCTAATTATACAATAATTAGCAATGTACATGGTTCCCAAGCTAAAACTGAAGTAGATAGATATTCGAACTTCAGAGTGACATAAATGTAAGTGTATTTCAAAATTTATTAATAAGTCAGAAGAAATGTATTACATCTTCATTTGATAAAAATATTTTCTTGCCTAAATCTTTTCAAATGCTTATTTCTGTACTCACTTAATTGACCTATTGGCTGATAGACCTTATAACGCCCACCAGTTGAATCAAAAATTTATGTAGTGATGTGGTGATGGCCTTTAAAACCAACCAAGGTAATGCTGAATGCTAGCAGATCTGTGGGCGTATATTTCATGTCTCATTTAAAAATCTCGAATCAAATAATCGGTCCCTTAAACGAAAGCAACAAAGAAACATTCCACAACACGTGGGCTTTCTTGTATAACAATATGTTTGTATGTATCCTAATCGGAATCTCTTCGGGTTGTGGCAAATAAAAATCACTTTAATTGTTATCGTAGCTCAATTTACACTCAGTTTTCCTATTGCTAAATACGGAAAAATACAAATCAAAAACATTCTTCCCGGCATTGACGGTCAAAATCCAAGGATTATTTTGATGTTTTAGCACCTAATACGTCTTAAAATCCTCATAAACATTCTTTGTGAACGTTTCCATATTTTCGATAAAACACACATTAACAGTAAATAAAAACAACCCGGTTCAATGTCATCGGAAGGCGTACTATTTTGTTCGGACGATTTAACGGACCGTTAATCAAGCATGAAAATTAGCAAAACAATAAGAAATAGACTGAATTTAAATGTTTTCGCGTCCTTTGGCATCTACCAAATATCATCCCCTTCGACCTATCGACAAGTGAGTTGATTAAACTATGGGCAGACGTTTTTAATTATCGATTTTGTTTTTTCCAAATTAAAAAAACTGTTCCATATATTTGACGATTAACTCCAAAGGTTAGGTGACCAAAGTGACGCGTTCTTAATTGTTTGAAAATGTCAACGTAATAAAAAATTAAATTTGAAGGTTTATTTGAAAACTTAATAAACAACCTCCGGTATACAACTCTATTTCATTTAAAGATCATAATGGGTATTTTTGCGGGGTATCTCCGTTATTTTTATTGATACCGGGTGTCTCAGAAAGGGCAACGAGATACGCTATTGGGGAAACAGATGTTCCTAAACATTTGGAAAAAAAGAGCGTAATTGGCATCTTAAATTTTCAAGCCGGTTCGTGTAAAATTTTCTTATATAAGAGTTCCAGAGGGCTCGCAATATTTTCGGAAATAAATTCCGGTAAGTCCAAAATGGCTGAGTGAGATGGCGTTTTTTTGTCCTAATTACAAAATAAATATTTTTTCAAAATTAAATAATATATGAATAAATGAGTTTTTTAGATTGTTAGATAGCCAAACAATATCCCAATAACCCAGTGAAAACCGCATCTCAATATGATAATGATCGTGATCATGACAATGGTCATGATAAGAGGCTTTAGAATTTTCATTTCTAGGTATAAAACAAAGCAGTATACCATATTTTTCATAATTTTTATAAGTTGCCATCATTAAAAGAAAGTGGCAAATATCAACAACGAAAACTCTGCCTTAAGTCGATCCAAACATATTTGTGGTCTGTTCATAGCCATTTTCTGTTGCAAAATTTATTTTAGGACGAAGTATTAAAAAAATGTTTTTATCGCTAACGCGTTTGTTTGATGTTTATTGTATTAAAAATGTCTTATCTAAACTCTAAGCGTTAGGAACGAAGAAAAATACTGATTATTTGAATACACATCTCAATTAAATAATTCAATAGTGAATAAAATTGGTTAGACTTCAACAATTTAATAATTTTGGCTAGTGAACTAACTCTAATTATTATTGAAAAAATTGGGATAATAATAAATTAATTAAAAATGACCGAGGATATCAAAACGTATTAATGTTGGCTACTGATTAACTTTCTGCGAACCAAAGCTATTTTGATTTTAAATATCATTAATAATAAATAAAAAAATAAATAATAAATAAGCGTTTTATTTGGTAAATAGCAACCCGTAAATTGTAAATTGTTTTTAAACTCGCAATTTCGCAATATCTTGTACTATAACCAAAGACTTGTCAAAAATTTGCTTTATGAAATCTCGAAATCTGAAGCCCACCCAACTCTGAAAATTTTTCGCCGAAGTTTAAATTAATATTTATTTAGCTTATCTTAGCTGATTTTACATAACTATCCTATGTTAACTTTGTTCTGTTAAGTGAATTATAAAAGCCGAAAAAATATTATTTTTTTCTAGGAAATTTTACGGCATTGAAAAGTTGCTTTTTGTACTTTTGTAAAAGTGCAAATCCAAAAGTATGATTGTAACCTAAATTAGACAACATTTAGTGACTATAATATATAGCAATCAAATATCCTTATAACAGTTTATATGGAAATATCTGTTTGAATTTGCTAAGATTTTCTATTACATTGACCCAATATTTCAAAAACCAGATTTACAAACGCAACAACACAAAACGCTTTCATTTACTCACAAATCGTTTGCTAACAATCGTTTTTATCTGTGATTGATCTATTCACCTATTTTTTATATGTTAAAACTACTTGTACGTCCTATAGATTAGTGGCGTTCCAAGACCAAAATTTAAAAAAAGCACAAAATAGATACTAAGCTAATGGAGTGAGTGTGATGTAATTTCAGAAATAATAGGTAACTAATGTTGCGTTTGAAAATTGGTGGACTGTATTTTCGTTGGTTCAAAAACACTAACGTTATCACTACATAAAACTTTATTCCTCTTACTGCCGAATAGATAACATTACTAACAAGACTAGACAAAAGAAAACATGGTCTCTATTCGTTCACCGCCGACATGCTTCTCCTCTCCTTCGCGGCCGGCGCAGGGAAAAAATCGAGTATGTTGGGTTGCATACCGCACAAAACTAAACAACTAAAACTAAAAACTAAAACGCACCAAGGGAACAACACTATTTCGGTATAATAGGGTCTCAAAAACCTAAATCGAAGACCAATAACCACAGAAAAATCGCCTTAAAATTGGTCGCTGTTTTTTGCTATTTTAATAACTTTTTTACCGCAAGGATAAAAAAATCTAATCACTAATTAATCAAACTATTTTTATTAACTGATTACGCATCTAAGAAGTATAAAGTATACCTTTAACAATCATCTCTTTTAACAAAAATGATTCATTTCTAATTTAAGTGATGCTTGTCAAAGTATGTCTGCTAATCGTTTTAATTATCTTCATTAAAAATCTACGCTTTAGGAACGAAGAACAATACTGATTATTTCAATTCACATCTTACTAGATAAATAATTCAATAACGAATAAAATTGGTTAGTCTTCAGAACATTTTAAACCTTGATTAGTTGACTAAACAATTTCGAATGCCAATATTTAAAAAATTAGCATAAATTAGAAGCGACAAAAGATAGAACAATGCACTACTTTCGGTATAATTTGAATAAATTAGTAATTCCGCAAAAATATCTAATATTTATTGAACAGTTGATTTAGGTATTCGTGTGTTCTACCTGGCTTACTCTTCATATGTTGTCTTCGCACTTGCATTTGGATTATTATGTCCCCACACTTTTTTTTTAAATTTCAATCCCAGAATGAAATATGATGTCCAAATCATAAAATTATGGAAATTTTAGCATTGGATTTTGCAAACAAAAAAGACATACAGATAACAATAAATACCGATGCAATAGTGTCTTGAAAATTTAAGCGTTTTGTGTTGTTGCGTTTGTAAACTTGGTTTTTGAAATATTGGGTCAATGTAATGGAAAACCGTAGCAAATTCAAGCAGATATTTCTATATAATGACAAGCTATTATAAGGAATTTTAGAGAAAAATCGCTTTAAAAGTGGTCACGCCCTATGACGCCCATCTCAGAAATACTAAAGTATTTTGCTACTAATAACATTTTTTACCGACAACGGATAGATTCCGAGGTAAAGTACTTTAAGCGCTAATTGGGCCAGCCTGTATAGTCTGTATTTGTTTTACTCTTGCAGTCCAAGGTTTCAACCGCGGACCTCTTTACATATCTTCGGTTGTGCCCACAAAACGCCGTATACGACAACAGTAAACAAAGCTTAAGCACTCAACTGTTGCGAAAATGCCATTCGCCTAAATAACCATAATAATATTCAGGCGTATATGACCATTAGAGACGGGTTTACTAATTATCTTATAATTGTGCTTTCGACACATCGCCTACCGTCTAATTAAGATAAATGATTATTACAGGTTGTTGAAATATTGGAGTTACTGGGTCTAGACCAATGCCATCACACGTTGACTTCTAGATTATCGGGAGGTCAGCGCAAGAGACTCGCCGTCGCGTTGGAGTTGTTGAGCAACCCCCCGATCTTGTTCCTGGACGAACCCACGACGTAAGTCTATAGTCTATTTCAGAAGGGTGTAAAGTGGTAAAACCCCATTCGGAATCCAAAGGGTCTACAGAATAATCCAAAGGATCTTTATCCCATTGGTTTACATGATGGTGTACTATTTAAAAATCTTCTGGATTCTTCCTGGTTGTTTTTAAATCGAACTTGCTGAAGTTTCACCAGTCACCCTGTTGGCTTCGTCAGAGATTAACTGAAAGTGGTGTACATTTCATGATTATGTTCGGCAATAATGACTTTATTTGTCCTAGTCTTAAGGCTCTTTCTGTACTTGTAGCCTAGAATAGCCTGGATATGTTTCGTTCTATTTCTTCAATATATTCCACATATGCGTGGAATGCTGTAAACTCCTGAAATTTTGTCCGGAATTTTGTCTTTGATGGATTGAATATTTGAAGAAGTGGTAAATCTGGTTTTAACATTATATATCTTAAGAACTTGTGATATGTATTCAGTAATGTTTTAAATGTAATTAAATACCACAAATGAGTTGCTTTCTAACTGCTTTTCCTTAGGGAGGTTGTGGAGAAAATTACTTATTGCGGATGTTGTCGAAAAAAACCCTTTTTACTACGCCATGCTTTCGGAAATGTTTATCTCCTTTATCAAGGCTAATATATGACCAAAACTTTTGACCTGTAGTCAGTTTGTGTTTTTTTTTTCATATACAATGAGAGTTCATCCATCTTTGGCTGCGAGAAGGTTTAATGTACCAAACAAGCACAACAGAAATTTCCTCGATTCTTATGAGTTTTGTATCTAAAAATGAGACACTATTGTCGGTCTCACTTGCAATCGTAAACTGAATATACTGATGGTATCCATTAAAAACCTCTAGCATTAGGTCTGAAGTACCTGTAGGAATTGCGCAAGTAATATCGTCGACATATTACTTAAAAATCGGGCACTGATAATTCAACATAGGAATGCGTGTGGCCAAAAGATCATTGATAAAAGACATTATGAAGTATGTATGCTGGTGTTGATCCGTGTATTCATCCGTTCGTTGTTTGATCCTAAATTAGAATCGATTGCCTGAAGTTTCGCCAAAATTTCATCTGGCATCTTCAGAGGCTGCGGGTCCATGTCACTTGTACGTGTCCGCACTTAAATTTTAAGAGATCACTGGTTAGATTTTTATCTTGTCACATTGTTGGTACCATATAAACCTTCACTAATTAACGCCTCATTAATATAAATAACTTTTTTCTGCTCTCTGTATTCATCGATATTTTAATAATAATAATTTAGAGTGGGGATAAAAAAAATATTTCACAAAGTTCCTACCTACCTACGCCTATGGCCGACACTGAGAGGAACTGGACACTTTTCTGGGAATGACCTGTATATCTACTTGGATGGGGAAATTCGAAATAACCGAATCAAACAATTTTCTGCAGAGGATTGGACAGTTCGTCTTGCAGCCACTGCATTTCTCTCTTCAAGCGGCTGGCACAAGAAGGTCGGACGATCATTTGCACGATTCACCAGCCGTCAGCTTTGCTCTTTGAAATGTTTGACAAGCTATACGCTTTGGCGGACGGCAAATGCATTTACGACGGTCCAACCAGCAGCCTTGTGCCTTATTTGGATAAATTCGGGTTGAAATGTCCACCGTATCACAATCCGGCAGATTTTCGTAAGTGTGAACAGATTTATCATGTTTGTAAGAAAGTGCACCTCGACAACTCTAAAAACAAGCTGTACTTTTGAACTTTTGCATTGCTAAAAAAATCTCTTGGAGTGAAATTATCTAATGATTGCAATAAACTTCTTATAACTTCAAAAGGAAATTTTGGTAATCAAGTACTCTAATTCTTTTTTAATTCTTTTGTTTTGTACAATAGAAGTTGCGTGTTTTTGGAATAAGTTATATACCACTTATTGGCGTGGTCAAATTTTTGAAAAACGTTAAATTAGAAATCAATCATGAGAGCTACGTATGTATTTTTTCATTTCGTCTTTACTTTGATGTGTTTCCGGGCTTTTAGGAACTTTCACTGTAAAAAGAAAACGTTTTTCGTAGATATAGCCAGTCCAAGAAGAAATGCAACATCAATATTTCAGAAACAATTTTCATATGAATAAAATTATCTGTGACCTTTTTAAATGCTTTTCATTTTTCAGAACTTGTGGAAAGAATTTTTAAACTGTCAAATACGTGCAATTTTCTTGTAAACATATTTACATGCGTCCAAGATTAAGCTATTAAATTCAAAAGTTTTATTTTTCTTCCAGTTATGGAAGTTGCCATAGGCGAGCATGGCACTGATCTGAACGTGTTGGCTGACGCATCCAAAGAAATTCAAGAACACAGTAGCGTAGTGTGCAGCAAAGGTTTGAAGCGATTTGTTAGAGATTTTTCTGTCGGTAACGGGGAATGTTTGATTGCAGAGCAAGAAAGCTTACTAAATTGCAGCGGCAAAGGGGCGGTAGATCTGATGTCAGCCGAAGAACCTTTCACTTCGCCGGCCCCCGTCATAATGCAATTTTTCTTACTGTACAAGAGAAGTCTGTTGGCCGCCAAGCGAAATTACGTAATGAATAAAAGCATCTTTAAATAGTTTTGTTAATATCTTGCAAATCTTTGATAATTTAAATTGAAAGCTAATTTTTAAATAACGAATATGCTAAAATGCGTCGTTTCGCGTTTTGTAAATTAACCCTATTTTTTCAAACGTCACCATATTAGTTTAGAGTCTAATTGAGCACTAATAGTATATTATGCGACAAGTGCGGTAAACGGCATTTAACATTTGACGAATAAACCAGTGACTCAAAAAGTTTACCGAACGTGTTGCATACTGTACTTTTTCTACAGCCGTTAGTTTTTGGGTACATTTTCGCAAAATAACACGAATGCATTCCCCCTGACATGACCATCAGAATTGACACACGTCAAAATATGAGACTTAGGAAATATCTCCGAAAACATCCGTGGGAAACAAAACTGTCCTGGTAAAGTGACGCTTCCCGCACGCTAGATCGGTGTGTAATTAGGTATTTTACAGACGGGAGTAGAAAAAAGACAATTTCAACGACATGTAATAGTAGGCGTCTAAGACAACCGTTTCGGGATTATGAACCATTATCATAATCAGGCTTATTAATATACCGGGTATCCAAAAAGTTTGGAGACTGTGTAATATATCGATAATTACACAGTTGATTAAACAACAAAAAAGAAATAAATATTGAATGAAAAAATAACATCAAATATGACCCTAACCCATTGGTGGGGAGGGAGAAACTTTGGCATTTTAAATGGAAATAATCGGGTTCTAATCTATTTTTTCTACTTCCTACTCTAGAGTACCTAATTACGCATTACTCAAACGTCAGTTTTATTCAACACTATCGCGAGCCAATTCGAGCATTTTCACTACTTTAGTTAGGGGTTAAGGGCGATCAAATATTAATCAATTATTGTTGATGGTTCCTTAGACGTTTACGGTGAACGCTACATGCTCTATCGATATAATATAGTTTATCGCTGTAACGTTGCCGTTTCTTCAGAAAAGTAGCATCAACTTTGAAATTTTAAATGGGACACCATGTTATTGCATTTTGCATTGCATACTTTATGATTTATGATATTTTCCTACACCTTTCTTTAGTAGTTTTCGAGAAATTTATTATTTCTTGACCAAAACATAGATTCAATTAACTTTTCATTACCACGACCCTGCAGCCAGTAGAAAGTTAAAATTTTGATCACAGGTTAAGAAGCTAATAAATTTTTAATATCTAAATTAGCTCTATATCATACAGGATTGTTCAAAACTAATGATTTATCTACGACATCCAAAAATGGAAAAAAAATTTTTTTAATGAACACCCTGTATATTGTTACATATTCTAAGAGAAAAGGCCCTTTTGAATGATATATCATGTCTCTATACCATAATCGTTTGGTTTCTGAAATAAAAGTAAGTTTCTCTGAAAACTGGATTACTTTGGCATAATTCATCTTTTAGGTGGCCACGAAATATCCGGTCTTATGTTACATAATATATTTTCCGTTCGACAGTTCAATAAAGATTTAATCATTATAGATTGTGGTACAAATTTTGTCGGATCAAAATCTAAGGAAACAGTAATCTAGGTCTGTTTTGATGAATTTGTTGATTATGCATGGAAAATGTAACAACATTATAATTTGGCTATAGCCAGAACATGGAGTAAACTTAATGAAAGCAATGCTGATTTACAAAAGCTTTACAAAGCATTTTACGAAAAATATTTTGAAAACTATTTGCACTAACAAAATATTACGTACAACAACAAACATCGTACAATCCGTAACACACCGCATACGTAAAAATATAATGGCGTGAGAACGAACGATCTTCCTGGTCAATGCCACTTGACACCTCTTCTGGTCAGTGAGCCGGTGACCCATCTAGTTGGTACCAAGAGGTCTGAAGTTCCTAAACGCTAATATTTTTGAGGAAATCATTTACCATTTTCTTAATATTTGAAGGTATTTTGCTACATTCAATGGTTCGTCGTAAAAAAAAAACTTACTTTATTATCTTTTAACAAGCAAAACAAAATTAAACTATTTTTTTTAATCCCATTTCTTTTGTGTCATGTCGGCAGGCTAAAAGTCTTCATTCCTTCCATTGAAAATACCCTCTTCCGAAAATTTGGCTTGGTGGACCATCTAAAAGATGAATTATGCCAAAGCAATCCAGTTTTCAGAGAAACTTGCTTTTATTTCAGAAACCAATCGATTTAGGCATATAAAAATATATGCTAAAGTTGGTCAACCGGTGTAGGTATTGGTTATAAAATAACTTTAAAATGTTAGAAGCATAAAATACTAGATGAATATTAGCAATATAATTAAATTAGTTATTCAATCAGTATGCCCAGAATACAGTAATATTAAAAAATCGCGTAAATTTTTCAAAACGCAGCAAAACGTGTAACACTGTACGTTGTTTCTTTCAGTCTTCGCATATATAATTTTTGGAAAATATTTGAAACACTCGCCATGACGATATCCATTACTATAAAAAAGTTGCGAAAACGTCTATGGATTCGAAACGTCGAATGCGCATCAATATACAGGTTCTTCTATTTAAAATATAAATGCAGATAATTGTAGATTTTAGATCTGTAGATCATTTCTGAGATCAGAAATACTTCAATTCTAAAATTTAACAAATATATAACGTGTTTTTGGTAAAACAAATAAAAAGACAAATTTTATTTGTCAATTTTATTACTATTACTAAACAATACCTTCTTAACAATATTTAAATAATTTACAATGCAAACTATTCATAACATGTATGTCCCTACCTATATTTGCTCAAATCTTTTTTATACGTGTATCTTTTCTGGCTAGCGGTATATATTTTATAATTATATTGTAATTTATTATATAAAATACCAAATTAAATTAAAATAATTTGTGCCAGAAAACAGTTTTTAATGAAAATAAAAAATATTTACTTATTTATTAGTTAAACTTACAGGCTGATCACCCAATAACAAGTTACAATTAACTTTTTTAAACTAATTTAAAAACTAGCTTAAAAAACTAAGTACCACTACTTAGAATAAGACAAGAAAGAGACACAGGAAATCTGTTAGTAAATCTGTAATATTGGTAGCATTCTTGAATAATTTTTTAATAATTTTGCAAACAATTCGTTCTAGATGTATTTTTGATGGAATTTGTTCACACATCTGTACATATTTGGTATAGAAAGGAGACCAAATAATGCTAGCGTATTCAAGCTTCGAATGATAAAGAATTTTCAGGGTTTTTTCGATTTCTATATGCCAGTTTTACTATTTTTAAAATATGTTCATTGAACATTAATTTCACATCAAACGTAATGACAATATCATTTTTTGTGGTAACTGATTTAATATTAACTTTATTTAATTAATATGGCTTTTTTACTCAAGTAAAAGACATGAGTTACATTTTTTGACAATGCAATCTAACAAATTATCTTTTGACCAATTTACTACTTTTTTAACATCTTTTTGAATATTGGAAATAATTGTGGGCTTAGTGGTGATCCCTGTGATACCCCAGATGTAACAAGAAATGGATCATAGTGCATTGTATTTTATATATATTTTATAAGGGTGCTTTAAATTTTAATTTAATTTAATTTAATTTAATTTAACATTTTCATTAAAATTTTCAGATGTACTCAGTGAACAGACTGCTAGCCCACGTGCTTATCGGATTCATCTTCGGGTACCTGTACAAAGGGGTGGGGGCAAACGCGAATCAAATATTGGCAAATTACGTGTATCTATACGGGACTATGCTGCTCATCGTCTACACAGGCAAAATGTCGGTCACGTTATCATGTAAGTATCGCCAAACTTGCCCAATTTCCATTTGGGTACTCAAAATTTTTTAAAATAGTCCGATTTTCTTTTGTTCTTCCAATATCTTAAAATTTTTGTTTCGACAAACGTTGCGGTCGGAAAAATGAACTTGTCGTTCGTATCAGAATCGTCAGTTTCCTTTCCTGCATAAAAATTCGTGATCGTTATTCATTAAAGTTAGTCATAATTATCGTTACCCACAGAGCCGTGCATTATTCAATAGTTCAAAGCAGCAGATAATATGCAATTAAAACACAAATGAAACTGCCTTTAATTTAAATACTCTTGGTCATATATTACACACACATATACACATGTTATCAATAGATTTCGCTGGTGACTCATTCGCTTGACCAACAGTATTATTTTTTCTAAACGCAAAAATTCTTTTATTATAAACATATAAGCATAATTGCATCCACTTTCGCAGGCATCTCTGTCTCTCTATATCCTCTGAAGTTATTTTACTAGTTATTTTATCAATTCCTCTGGTCTTTCCCTTTTTTTCTATATGGTTGATTTCATTTGTCGTATATATCTGCGTCTATTTTGATATCGTTACATTCATTCATTATTCGTTTTATTTCTTTGTTTGTTAATCATTACATCCGTCATCTCAGAACGGTAACTTCTTCTAAGAAAATCCATTTCTATTGCTATTTGACTGTCACATCAACATGCACACACACAGAGATCACATCCGATCTATATTTTTAATGTAACCCCTGTCGTAAATAAATCTGCTCGGTTTGCTTTCCCAGGACAGTATTTCGAAACACCCGTGGTGATTTTTCGATTTTCATTATTTCGTTAACACGATTTTGAAAATAAGGTTCCTATTTTTTGCATGACCTTGAATTCAATATAGTTATTTTTGAGTGTGACCATAGCAAAACATGTTTAATATTATTAATATAACATTTTTAATCTTACTGCACATAGTGCTGCGCTAAGTTCTACTTTCGGTAAGGTCTTCCTTTTGATTCACAGAAGCCACTAGATTTTTTTATGTTAAGCACTTTACTTTTCGTTCCTCAATTGATTTCACGTATGTCACTGCCACTTACGCCCGTCGGCTCACGTCAGCAAAGTAACTCGACTTCATCAGTTGGAATTTTCATAACAGTTCTGGGAACATGAATTTGTGAACACCAATTATACCCAATTGCTTTAAATTCTTCTGGTAGAATATCATCCCATTCTAAATTTCTTATCCAAAGCTGCTGAAGTAAAGTTTTTGCTTTCACAGTGTAGAGCCCCAAAACCTAATGGGTTAAAGATTTTTGCGATTATTTGTAGAACACCACGTTATGTAGGTAGTTTTGCTTGATCTCCTGATGAGAGGTCAGTCGATAATTGGTCTGAAAATACATGCCACAAAAGACATAGCACCTTATATGACAGTTTCCTAAGAGGTCTTTTTAATTTTGTAAACGCTTCATCATTTGTTCATCGTAGGAGCACCAGTTTCTCAGGTTCATGTTTGCTGATCACATAATTTGCCTAGCTTCGTCGTATATTCTATTAGCATTTTCCGAAGAATCTGCAGTTCCAACGTCATCATCCACATAAAATGGTCCGTCCAATTTTTTAGCTGTTTTCCTCAGATGATCTGGCTGGTTCAAAATAAGTCCTTCTTAACAGAAACGGGCTGCCGGTCACTCCAAATGTGACACGAATCATCTTCACGGTAAACAACTGGTAGATGCGGTATATAGTAGGTTTTTTTACTATTGGATTGATGAGGCACGATTTCAGCACAACCAATTTCGTTTCGTTATTAAAATGTTCAAACAAGCGACAGCTCATGCGTATTTGGATTGTTTTCCAACAATAAGGCCACTTCGTAGCGACTGTTTTTAACGCGTACGAAATGTTCGATAAAATTGCCTGTAGTTTTTTGGCTCGAATTTATACCTATTGCCTCTAACGACCAACATTACGTAAGGTCCAAGTTCTCATAGGCTGTTTCTACATTTAACACGGTTGTCATGTTCAAATGCACAAAAAGTCATAGGTATCCAAACTCTGTCATGATCTGTATGATGTCCAACCTAACTTTGTATTTACGGCCGCCAGCTCGTCCGACAGTTTTTTGGTTTCAAAGTGACGAATTTCCAATAGTATTCCGCACCAGTAAGTTAAATAATTCCATCTTCTAACGACGGCGGCGCTAATATATCAAAACAGATCTCGGGAACTTCAATAGCTGTTATTTCTAGGATTTCATTTTCGTACTGGCTTCTTGAATTAACTTGTACCCCAATACAAAGCATTGCAGGTGTACTGCTTGACGTTGAAAATCCATTTACTGATAATCTGTGATGTCCTACTACTGTCAACCCCAATAACCTCGAGATAGTCTCCTTTATTATTATGACCACCTCCGTCTATGACTCTACCCTGACGATTGTCGTTAGTCAAAATGAAACCAGAAGCTGTTTTCAAATAAACGTTTCCTAACCGCTCTATCGTAAACAAGGAGGCCGTAATATTTGAGGACTACATTGTAGAATTAACAACATTGTTCGCCTTTTCAATTATTTTCAACCGCTTCATATGTAGGTTTTACAGAATCTTGATGTGTGCCTTGGTTGTGTACGTCAAAAGCAAAATCCATTTACTTTTAAAATATCCATTTTACTTTTAATTTGTAAAGAGGCTTTACAGTCTTTAGTTCGATGCCAATCGTTTTTGCAAAATAAACACTCATAGAACATAAACGAGCAGCTGTAAATGCCTTCCTGCCGTTGGTTTTTATTAAACACCTTTTCTTTTACTGCCTCGGTATGTGCTTGTTATGCAGCATCTATATTGATTTTTATAAATAGTAGTGTCATTTATCTGCTTATTATGATCATTGGAATTATGCGAACCGCTCGATTCTGACCCTCTGGTATTCTTTGTGTATAAAAAGCTACTTGCATATTCTAGGGCAAAACTCTAAAAATTATTGACTTCATACATACTGGTCCGGAAAAATTCCCAACGCAGACAAGGATTTAATTATCGTGGTAGAAGTGTTGTACAGCTTCCGCAAAGAAACAGTATCTTTCATTTCTTACCAGTGTTATTGAAAAATATTTTTGAATGTACTAATGTGTTTATTATTCTTTCCATGTCAGCATATTCACCCTTTAAGAGTTCAATAGCATCGTTATAAGATGCTAGACATCAATCCTGCTATTGTTACCATATCATTCTATTCCGCAATTTTTGCACACTCCGCTTCTAATTGCTGTTCACTAAACGAAGGGCACAATTGCTCGTCGATACTTTGCAAATTTGCTTTAATAGCTCCAATTCGCGCTAATAAGACGGTAAGTTGGTTGACGTTGATCTGTTCCGAGGTTATGATACCTTCCGACAGTTTTCCGGAGAATCGTTAAATTTGTGCGATAATTTTTCGGAGTCCTAGGTCCATCTTTGTCGTTGGATTTCACTTGGTAATCGTTAAAGATCCACACAAACTATTTCCGAGGTTTCGCCACCAAAATATGATTAATCGTTAATGAAGCTATCCCAGGTTCGTAGCAAAATAGTTTAATGCGAATTAGTTTACAAAGTGAAATCAAAAAATATCCGCACTCTCTTTTCGACAGGTACGTCACTTGCTCGTCTAAATTGTTCTTGTTTATATCCACGGTCTCTATCCAATCAGCCGTAGTTACGTCCGGCAGGTGCATCGTACTAATGTTTTTCAGAGGGAGCAAATGGTTTTTTTACGTTTCTCCGAAATTTCGAACTATATTGTTTATAAACTATAGCTGATGTTCCAGCTCTCTACGAATTCAAATGTGGTTGTATGTAATAAAGTCTTAATTGGGGTTATGTTTTGAAAATAAAATTGGAAAAATAATTACTTCGTCGGAAACCGCCAAAGATAGGTGTAGGGAGGTATTATCCAAAAGTAACCAGAAAATAATTGAGGAACGTAAAATAATATACAGGGATTGTTACGTTTAAAATTGGTGTGCTGTATTATCGACGGTTCAAAAACAGTGATGTTATATCACAACATAAAAACTTTATTCTCTTTACTTCGATTTAAGCAATACTAACAAAAACGGAGAAAACATGCTCTCTATTCCTTCGCCGCTAACAAGCTTCTGTCTCTCCCTTCTGGTCATCACAGCAAACTAACCGAGTATATTGGGTTGCATACCAAACCCGAATTCGCGCACAAATCTAAACGGGGAACTTATTTAAATTATCTAAGTAAATACTACTTTTTCAAATAAAAATTAACCAACCTACATCTCGTTCGCCTGCCCTTCACTGTGTATATTCTCACCACTTTCAGCATATTATTTATAATATAATAAAGAAAATTGCAATTTATTTCTGATTTGCAGTTCCGCTAGAAATGCGAATACTTACGAGGGAACATTTCAATAGATGGTACAATTTAACACCGTACCTGTTGTCCATAGTGCTAATCGAAATTCCCTTCCAAGTAAGTGTTAGGATATAGTCGGTTTTTTCTATTTTTATTAATTATTTTTTGTTTTACAGGTGATTTGCACGTGGATCTATATCGTGATTAGTTATTGGTTGACCGATCAACCTGTGGACTTCAGAGTATATCTCTTCGTATTGTTTTGTACCCTGGGCACCCTATGTGCCCAATCCATGGGATACTTTATTGGGGCGACCACTCCTACCAAGGTACAGTTATTTAAAAAAATTAAGTTTCCATTAATATATGAAACAAGGAATTTGAAATTAACAATTTTGATCTTGGTTGGAGATTAATTTAGTAACAAGGAACCAGTAGATATGAACGCCGTTTGATATAAGTGTAATTATTTTTTTTATAGAAGGTATGACTGAATTATTTTCTCTTAAAGGTATTATTTACTACAATAAAACTTTTACATATTTCATTCAAATTTCACAAACTAACCTGCACTCGGCCCCGTTTTCTTTGTAAACAATCAAATCCCCACACTTAACTCATTTTTCTGTGAAAATTTAATGGGATTTGGGAAAATTTGCCCTGCACTGCACTGCAAAAAAAAAACACAACCAAGCTGTGGATATAAGGAGCTGTCACAAGCTATGTTGACGGTCGAACGTCGCTAGATCTCATGCTTTAAAGGTGTGTTTTGAAACTAGTTTTTTTCATGATTATTATTTTATGAAGTGCTTGGTTTCCCTTAAAGAATGGGATAAAAACTGGTTTATTTCCGTATAACCTTAAACAACAAACATGAAGTCCTTTGGTCTGTGCTGAGGATGAACATCAAAGGATAAATAATTCTCTGCAAGGGGTTGGAAGTTGGAACCACCCAAATGTAGAGGGCACCAAGAGCAGGAAACTTAATTTAAAGTGTTTGCCTGTTTTAACAGTTTTATTTAACCTTATTAAGCTAAAAGAAAGACACATCTAGGATTCTAAATAACTTTCCACCCGGTATGCATAACTTGAATAATTTTGTTACAGATCGCGGTATTTATCGGGCCCGTCATAGCGTGCCTCTTCTCCATATTCGGTTTCTGTATAAGGTTATACGATACGCCGCTGGTGTTCAGATGGCTGTTTGCAATCAGCTACTTCCGCGCAGCCTTTCAGGGAATTGTATATTCAGTCTATGGGCTAAACAGGGGCAAACTGTTTTGTCCGGAGGATGAAGTTTACTGCCACTACGAAGACCCGAATAAATTCCTAAAGGAAATGGACATTATGAACGTCGACTTGGTGTCCAACATTTCACTCGTTGTATTCATTTGGTGTCTCATGCACGCCGCGACTTATTTAACCTTGTGGTTCAAACTGAACAAGCGGTAATTCGGCGAGCGGAGCGAGCGTACTGCTTGCATTTGTAAATAATTTGATAAGCGTTTTTCTAATGCTACGAGCTTGCCAGTGATCGAAGTACTTCTTGCCTTAATGTGGTGGGTAATTAGAAAACTGTACCAAAGAATACCGATTTATTTATAATCGAATCACCCAATTTAAGTATTATGTTTTTCATATTATGTCATTTGTTATATAAGTTTTGTTGATGGTATTTTATATTTTTATAATCCGTTTTGCTTTTGCTCCATAGCGTTTTAGGAATCGTTGGTTATGTGTACTTAACTAATCTCTTAGTTTGCCATGAGAGTAGATGCTTACAGCTATTAGAGGCTTATTCGTTCCACGTTTTTTGAGATATATAAATATTTCAGTTGGCAAAAAAAAATTATTTTCAGCTCTCTTATCGTCAGTCAAACGGAATTGCGTGTGTTTTTATTAAAGAGTAGTTATTGCTGCAAATGTTGGTAATAAAATGCACAATAAATAGAAAAATCAACAATATTTTAAAAAATAAGAATACACCACCTTTATAAAGATTTTAAACATTTATCTTTCTAACAAATTTTCTGAAAGCCTACTTTTGTATAATTCAGTGTGTTCAATCTTTTTTTTTTGGAGTGCTTAAGCTGAGCCGTTTTTGTTAACGTTAACAGCTCATATATTCCTTGTTGTCATTAAATGTGTGCTAGTTTTAAACCATTGGTCTTGGAAAATATAAAATTTTTAAAGGTCAGCTTTCTTTCAAGCCAGTATTTTAAGGGTCTCTGGGATAATGTTTCTTTATTTAACCCTTCTTATTGACTTTAAATGGTGTGCCTTCATCTAACTAACTCAACGATCTAATAGGGCAGTGTTACTTTTTGTGGCTACATTAATTTGTCTTACTTACTCAAAATGACAATTTTTTTATTTTTTGAGATAGTGATATCTTATGTGTTGTTGCTATAAATCCATGCTGATATTAATCTCAGATTAAAATACTCTTAAAATATAAAGCCAATTGAAGCAATTTTGTGGGTCATGTTATTTTGCCTGATATTCTGTAGTGCGCTGTTAAAAACAGTGGTCCCCGATTAAAGCTACGTAAAATGGCAGTGCTTGCATTATTGCAGGGTCTATTCAAAAATAAACCAGAATAAAAGCAAAACCAACTCAAACTCAACTGTGAATTTAAATCGGGACCGAAACTAAGATCAATCTTCAGAGCCGGTCCTAAACTATCACAACCAAACGAAAATGATAAAGCCAAACGTGATTCTAAAAAGGTTTAGATAATATACTTAACTCTCGTCTTCTTCATGAAAAAAAAAATGACCTTTTTTTTGGAGAAATACTGACGAAGGAATGCCACTTCCAAGCTGAAACTGTCGAATTGACGAAATGTCAGCGGGTACGTTGATAATTCAACGTCGCAAAGTCTTATTAGTTGATTAGTTTGAAATAACAACAGGCGCATGTTCAGTGTGCCTTGGCTTTAAATACTTCAAAGGTATTGTCGACATCGGACCTTTATATTTTTAGTTGCTATATGGGTAAATAAAACACGTCAATTGTTATTTATTTCCGAAAATAATTTTAAACTTTATTGAACTGAAATTAGGTAACTAAGCGCCGTAGCAAATAAAATATTTTGAAATGATCTTGTGTGTCACTACCACCATCCTCCTTTGCCACCGTCTTTAGATTTTCCACCTGTGTGAATAAAATGAAATATGTATCGCTTCCCGCTACATTTGTAATTACTTATAATAAATAAAAAGGTTCTATTTTAACGCAGCAGCAAGTAGTTAAATTAATTCAATAGGGCTCTCGGCCATATCTTGAAAGTTAATTGTCGCAAAGACTAAATATAAGAAAATTCTTGACACTAAAACGGCAAAAAGAACATGCTAGAAGTGTTTCTAAAATTTCTAGACTGGCCGTCAGGTCGAGCAATCGCATCTCGACTTAAATGAATGCCGCAGAATAGTTTTGCACACTTGGATTTAAAAAAAAATCGATTTCGAATGGGTGTTAATTATTATTGTCATTTTAAAGATTTCTTTTGTATTTTAACAGTACATTTATATACAGTGTGGTCATTTTTGTCTGCAACATATGGGATTTTCTTTCACTAACTCCCCAAGTAAAATAGTAATATTGCCATAATCATATTAGGTGCACTGAAAATATTTGTAATTCAAACAGCTTACAGAGTAAGACCGAAAATACACTCATTTGACTAACAACGAATAAAACAAAATGGGTTCAGTTATTCTGAAGTGATTTATGTATTCGTAAATTGTTCGGACACCCCCCCAAACTTTCCGAATTTATCAAAGCTATACAACGCAACGGCGTGATTTAAAATATAAGAATGCGATTATGCCCCCTGGCGGGCATTCTAGAAACTTAATAATAATTTCCAGTATATTCTCTTGAAAGTTTCAGTTAAAAGTTTTTTCACCCCAGATCTTTAAGGCAATTACTCTTCGAATTAGGGCGAAGTGTCTTTCTATGTTGACCACCTTGTATATCCGAAACATCTGAGATAACGAATTATGCAACCATGACGATGAATGAATGTAAAAAAGGAACGTTGGACCTGTTGTGATTACTTGTCATTTTATCCACTGTAAAAGAGAAGAGGAAACGGTGTAGAATAGAACCTAACCTAACATGAGAGAGAGTGTTAATTTGAAATCAGTGTATTCATTATTAATAAAGTTATTTTAGTTTAATACATCCGTGTGTTCATAAATTCACAATAGGTTATGGACCCAGAACCACGCAAGACGTTGGCTGGCGGAAGGTGGATAGAGAAAATTTGAAAAAAAAATTCTTTTGAACAGGTGTATTAAACTTGTAACAGCAAAATGAATACGTCGTCGGTGGTATTTCCACAATTAAATGCACAAAATTATAATAACTGGAGGTTTAGAGTTAAAGCATTTCTCGAGGAGAAACAGATTGAAGATACGTTGGAGAAAGAAGTATCAAATTTTGCTGAGGAAAAAGAGAAGACAGATTTTAAAATAAGGGACGCAAAGGCAAAATCAATCATAGTGCAATGTGTAAGTGACAAACACCTTGATATAATTAAAGATTCAACTACAGCGACGCATATGTTAAAAGCATTAGAAGATGTATTTCAAAGGAAAAGTGTATTTTCGAAGTTGACTTCGAAGGAACGAAAAATTAGAGGATCATTTTTTGAAATTTAACTCTGTAATATGAGAATTAGAAAGTATTGGGTCTAAAATCAAAGAATAGGATAGGGTGTCCCACTTACTTTTGTCTCTTAATGAGGACTATGATCCTGTAATAACGGCGATTGAAACATTAAACACAGATGTAACAATGGATTTGAATGGAAATGAAATCAAAAAATGGGAATAATAGTAGAAATGATAATGAAGTTACATTCAAAGCAAGCCAATATGTGTATTATAAATGTGGCAAACAAGGTCACAAATTTTTTGAGTGTTTACAGAATAGGCATAGAGATAGAGGTAGACTTGCTACAAATTACAGAGGTTCACGTCGAGGTAATCGTAAGTATAGTGCGAATGCAAACACAAGTGAGCAGACAAACGAAGTGAAAGAAAGTGATAAACAAGTTGCATTTATTGCATTAAATAGTGTGAGCTTGAATGACAACATAAACAGTTTTATTTTGGACTCTGGAGTTACTGAACATTTAGTGACAAGTGAACTGCAAGACTATATGACAGATATACAAGATTGAAAGACAGAAATAAAAATAGGTACTGCCAAGAGTGGGGAGACGTTGGTTGCAGAGAAAAAGGGAACGCTGAGTGGTATTTGCCAAGGTAAAAAAATAAAATTAGAAGCTCTAATAGTTAATGGTATGTCGCATAACTTAATTTCTGTGTCAAAATTATTAATAAAAGGTTTTAAAATAATATTTGAAACTGATGAAACAAGTAGAAAACATGCAAAAATAATATACAACAATGTTACATTTTATTGTGAAAGTTTTAATAATTTATTTTTGATTGTTATAAATTTAAAAACTGAAAATTGCTATAAAGTAATAAATGATAATGCAGGAAATATTTGGCATAAGAGACTATTACATTTAAATCGTTATGGTCTAAAACAGTTAAGTTTACCTTACAGTGATGAAATTTGTAGTAATTGTGTGGAAGGTAAAAGTACTAGAAAAACTTTTTATCAATGTACTAGAAAAACTACTCGGATTGGTCAACTTATTCATACAGATATTGCAGGGCCAGTGGCAACTCCATCTTTAGAAGGTCATAGGTACTTTCAGGTTTTACTTGATGACTATTCACATTTTTTGGTAATCAAATTGTTAAAATCTAAAGATGAGGCTGCTCAAAACGTTATTGATTTTATTAAGCTAATAAAAACACAACAGGGTCAAAAAATACAAAAAATTAGATGTGATAATGGTGGTGAATTTTCTTCAAATTATTTCAAACAGTATTGCAAAAATAAAGGTATTGAGATTGAGTATACGCTGCCATATAGCCCGCAACAGAACAGTAAGTCTCAGCGTATGAACCGAACTTTGTTAGATAAAGTAAGAACTAAATTTGCTTAAACAAATTTACCCAAAGAGTTATGGGGAGAGGCAATCTTAGGTTCAGCATACGAGTTAAATCGGTCACCCACAAAAGCAAATGGTGGCGTTCCTCCCTCGACAAGATGGTATCAAAATAACAATTTATCAAAATTAAGAGTTTTTGGGAGTAAGGCATGGTCAGTTGTTTTACCAAAAGCAAATAAATTAGAGAAACGTGCAAAATTTTGTATCATGACTGGATATGGTTTAAATGGATACAGGCTTTGGAATTTTGAGAATAATGAGATTATATATTCAAGAGATGTTACATTTGATGAAAATCAGACAAATTACAATCAATTAATAGAAGAAGTCAAAGACAAAAACATAGCGATGAAGAACATAATAATAAGATATGAAGAAAATTACAATAAAGAGACAGAAACAGACGAAAATGAAATCGGTAGCATAAATGAATCAGAAGATGATAATGATGGAATAGAGTCAGAAAATTTAGATGATAAAGACAGAAATGTAACAAAAACTGAGACATCAAGACATGGAAGAAAGATAAACACACCAAAACATCTTAGTGAGTATGAAATTTACTCAGCATATTGTTTGCTAACATCACAGAATGATCCAAAGAATTACGATGAGGCGATAAAAACAGTTGAATAGAAGGAAGTTATAAAAAAGGAATTACACTCGCATGAAAAAATGCAAACCTGGACTGAAGTGCAATTACCAGAAGGTAAAACACAAACGAACAAAAGAAGATGGCATAAAAAAGGCTAGAATAGTGGCTAGAGGTTTCCAAATTAAGGAGAAGCATCTTTATGAACCAGTTTACTTCTGTAGCATGTATGGCAACAATAAGAGTTTTATTCTCCATAGCATTACAGAAAGATTGGAAAATAAAAGTTAGATATTCCTACAGCTTTCTTAAATGGAAAATTAGAAACTGAGGCTTATGTATATCCACCTGAAGGTCTTCAAACAAAATCAACAGGGTTAAGATTAAATCCAGCTTTATATGGTCTCAAAGAGTCTCCAAAAGTTTGGAATGAAACTTTTAATAATTTTGCTGTTGAAAACAATTTTCAGAGATCAAGACATGATTGCTGCTTGTACTGTGGTAAAAATAACTGGATATTATTATATGTAGACGACATGTTAGTAGTGGAAAAGAATGAAAACATTGAAGAAACAGTATTTTTACTAAAGAAACATTTTCAAGCAAAAGATATGGGACAAGTCAAGAATTTCTTAGGGATGACAATAAACAGAAAGGAAGATCAAGGAAACAAAGTTTATTGAAAAACTATTGGAAAATTTTAACATGAAAGAATGTAGTGGAAAATCTACACCTATGGAAAAAGGATTTCAATATAATGAAAATAGTGAGATTGTGAATGTTCCTTCCAGGCAATTGATCGGAGGACTGATGTACTTGTCAACAACTACACGACCTGATATAACATTTTCTGTTTCATATTGAAGTAGATTTCTGGATAAGCCAACAAATGATACTTGGAACACAGGAAAAAGAATATTACGTTATTTAAATACAACTAAATTTAAAGGATTAACTTTTGTGAAAAATGAATCAAGTAATGACAGAGTAAAATTAAAAGCTTTTTCAGATTCAGATTGGGCATCAGATAAACATGATCGGAAGAGTGTAAATGGTTGCTTAATTTTACTTGGTAACATGCTGGTTTTCAAAGAAACAGGGATGCGTTGCTCTTTCTACCGCCGAAGCGGAATGTGTTGCAGCGGCTGCTTGTGCTCAGGACCTAATGAATCTTAAAGGGGTGTTAAATGATTTTAAGCTTAATATTCCCACACTGCTTTTTTGTGATAACAGAAGTTCAATATTAATGTCAAAAAGTAATAAGAATTCAAAAAAGGCTAAACACATAGATATAAAAAATCATTATTTAAAAGATTTAGTATTACACAAGAAAATATCTGTTGAATATGTACCAACTGAGGAAAATTTAGCAGACATGTTAACAAAACCTTTAAGCAAGGATTTATTTGTAAAACTTAGAGATAAGTGTAATATTGTATAACACTGCAATTGTTTATTCTTGTAATCACGATTTTCATTTATCCAAACATTTGTAAAACTTCAAATCGAGGAGGAGTGTTGTGATTACTTGTCATTTTATCCACTGTAAAAAGAGAAGAGGAAACGGTGTTGAATAGAACCTAACCTAACATGAGAGAGAGTTAATTAAAAATAAGTGTATTCATTATTAATAAAGTTATTTTAGTTTAATACATCCGTGTGTTCGTAAATTCACAATAGGACCTACCTCCGCCAGATTTTCGTCCTCCTCCAGAGGAAATAATAATTTTCACGATTTTTACACCTCCTCCTTTTCCTTTGCTTCCTATCGATTTGCCTCCCCCCTTTCCCTTGTGTCCTCCGCCGCTGCCATAACCGCCTCCACCATATCCTCCAGTGACGCCGGCTGAACGTAAAAATAGTAAATAAATTTTGTACTTTTTTGACTGCCGTTATCACTCACTTAATACCAGATTAACTAGAGCAGTAGTTACCAAAAACCAAAAAAACGCCTGAAATAATACAATACATATAAGGTAAGTGGAGGTAATAAATATTAAAGTACTTATGTTACCAATTTAATTTTTGCTCGTAGGATTTCGTATTTGTTTTATAATTTTTTGTTTGTTACTTACCAATAACACCAAAACGATATTAATATTTTTAGATTTCTATCAGAGCTAGAACTCCTGATCAATAATATCTAGGTATAAGCAACAACTGGACCTAATACGCGCGAAGATCACTAATTTTGTTAATTCTTATTCTCACCAACCGTACTCTTTAATTACTAATGACATAATCCATCATAAAACATTTGAAATTTAGCTTTAAATAAGATGAAAAATATACAGCTTCATCCACATATAGGGTGTCTCCTAGGTAAATGATATTAAGGAAATGGAATATAAAAATAAACCGATCAATAGAAAATGCTGGAAATTACTTTCTAGTTTCTGAAATGGCCACCAAAGAGCGTAGTTATTATCTTGAATTTTATAACCTGATTTCTACAACAATTTCTAATGTTAACCATAGTTAAAGCCGAGACAAACTCAAATATTTCTTTTCTGACATAAAACTACATAAAATATTACAAAAAAATATATTTTCTAGAATAAATCCAACGGGATAAGGTTATTTAACGTATTTAAATGGGAAAAAATTAAGAATTATTGCCATGAAAACAAATTTCGTTTTAGGCCTACCACTTATTTTTTTGAACATGTTAAATATTTATTGCATTAAACTTATATTTCAATACATGTTTTGCTACTTAAATAATTCAGTAATAAATTAAATTGGATTAGTTTTGGTTATTTGACAAAACTAAATTATTAATGGCGGAATAAGTAGAAATAGCAATAATTTTAAAACGACTGAGCACGTCAAACAATCGAAATATCAGTGTCCTTCGAATGTATTAGTAAATAACAACAGACGTTGTATTTGACTTTTTGCGTTGATTTCTTTTATTCACATTTTAGGTTACGATTGCGATTAAGTCAAAAAAAACTCCACCTGGTGGCAAGGTACACAATCACTCATAGCGCGTCTAGAAAAAGGCCCTTTTAACGACTCCGAGTTTATTAGAATGTGATAAAAACGTTTTTGGGGATGTGGACATTTATTGAAGAAAATATTCGAATAGAGACAGAACAAATGGCATTAAGCATAAAAGATTGGATTGGAATAATTTCTAACATTTTGCCTTGGCCGATTTACGTAATTTTTTTTCAAGTTTCTAGGACCGTACATTTCCTTAACACCGTAGTTTGTTGCCCTTATTACCATTACTGTGAAAAGTTTTTTATGTAACTAAAATTTAACCTTCTTATTGGAACATCTATTTTTTGGCTAACAAAACATATTTTTTATCAGAAGCTAAATCGTCACTTTGAATTACAAAAGAAAATGTGTGTAATTACAAACTAATCTGATTCAAAATTAATAAAATTAAACCCTTCAAACATTACAAAATATACAGAATCAAAATCAGAACTATCTTCAGTTATAGGAAGCAATTAAAATGATGCTTACCTTCATTTTTTCTTAAATATAAAAATGAAACTACTGTCGATTAGTAGCCTGCTTATATACTCAAATTAGACGAAATTGGCATTGTCCTACCTTTGCCCCGCTTCTAACTAAAAAAATCGAGTGTACGACATAAAATACAGGGAGAACAGTTCGGTCGGAAAAAGAAAAGCACCTCGGAATGTGTATAAAACTTAAAAACTTCCGGATTGATAATCGAAAAAAAAACAATTTTGAAAAATCGTTTTAATATTTTCTGAATTCTTCTGTAAATGCATTTAAAGTTAGTTGGACTCTGTTTCTTCCCGCGATAAAATTGTGGTTTAAGTCGTATTCCATAGGCTTAATATTGTATTGGTCAGCACACGATAAATGCACATATCTGGCCTGTCATAAACGGAAGGCTATTTACCCTCAATATACCAAACAATAAAACAATAAAAAGCCGTTTTACAAGCGTTTATCAGTGCTGGGAGGTATTTTTAATTTAGTAGTGTCGACATCTTACAAATCTTAAAATCATTTGCACTTTGGCAAATAATGACCATTATTTGTAATAGTTTGACCGTCGGTGGAAGAAAATCATGTTACAATTTTAAGAAGGTAACATTCATATAATACTTGCTGTAACTTCCCAAAAATGTCAAACTGTTTTGACGACTTATTTTAGTTAATCTATATTTATAATTTATATAATTACAGTTGTACAGCAATACAACAGAATGTTTCTATACCCCGCGACCTAAATAAAGTGTTCATTATTGGTAACTTTGTTTTGAGTAGAGATACAAAGTCGGTTGAATTATTAAACACTGATTACGGTGGTGAAAACAGAAAAACAGTAGATGTAGGGTTTAGAAAAAGAATGAGGAAAATGTACTCTTCTTAAATAGAATACCCTGCATCTTTTTCACTGTAATATCAACAGAACAAAAAAGGTGATATGCAATATTAGCGTAAAATTGAAAATAACCGAATTATCAGCACATTTCTCTTTTAGACTATGGGTGGTTGCGATATAAAACTCCATTTCCCTTTTCTTCTTTTATTTGAATGTTAGAAACAATAATAACACCATCAATTTCCACGTCTTCATTTCTTGTAAAATTTATTCGTCTCCTTCTTTAGCAAAAACGGATTCATTAGTTCTATAGATTCGTTAAAAGTCCAAAAAAAATTGTTCAAAGAAGGCTGTACAAAAAATGACTGCCCTGCCAGATAGAAAACTTGTTATGAAAAAATTAGTTTTCATGTGTTCATTTTAGTATTGTTATATCAATTGTTATCACTCATTTAAATTAGTTGAACGGTATCACTTATTTAAAAATAGTCTTTACACATGAAGAAAAGTTAGGGATGTTAGAATGCTATTTTCCATGCAGTTAATCGTCTGCAAAGGCAAGAGAAATTTTATTCAAATAGGTCTGTGGTGTAGGTGTCATTATAAAGAAAAAGTTCTGGTTTTATTTAAAATAATATTAATCTTCATATTTTTCATATAATATATTATTCATTTCGAAGTATATTTTCTTAAAAAATTTTTCTTCCTTAGTCATGACGATTTATCTTGTTGTTGACAGGTAATTGAACTGCCTGTGCCTTGGTGTTTAAAATTAGAATTATGGTTACTTTCTGGTAGTTGTGGGCAAAAATCGCCCTTGAAAATGATAAATGGATCCTGGATAATGATAGCTATCACTCAAGAGAATACGAAAAAATACCCAAGTTTTTTTGAAAAAAAAACATTATTCATTGGCATATTTCAAATAAGAAGCAATTCCATAAAGATATGCTGAAAATGGAGGTAATGGAGATGGTAAGTTTGAATAAACCTCTTTATACGAAATTTATTGTAGACGAAATCGTTTGAAAACGAAATATTTGTACTTTGTCTTCGCCGTGAATTATTATCTCCATAATAATAATAATAATAATTATTATTATTATATTATTATTACAAACTACTTGTATTAACGCCGCTGTAACATTACTTTCATTCAACAAACTCGTCTTGCTATTGTATTCAAGCTGGTGTAATTCTAATTTTGGAACGATTCAAGTTATGTAGCTCTTAAAAGCCGAATACGGAAAACTATCATTGCCAATTATCTGAACTTTGGAATATAATCTTTAAGTTGTCCAATGATCCCTGATATTTTCCGAGGGGCAAAAATTCACGGATTTCGCAAAGATTTCACCGGTTTCAGATTTCACGGATTCTACATAGATTTAACAGATTTATAAATGATTATCCAGATTTCGCTAATTTTGAAAAACAAATTTTAGGTTCAGTAATAAATTTTTATATTCCGTCGTAATTCAAAAACTATGAAGTGAAAATAATATACAAAAAACACCCTGAGAACTTAAAACGAAAAGCGGGAAAGAATATCGTGTCAGTGCTAAATACAAATTTTATAAATTCCATAAATTTTCTTTCCTTCTTATTTTTTTTCTTTTTCTTCAAATTTAAGCAAGTAATTTCCTTCATACAGAAGGGTAGATTTAACACATTTGGCTATGAATTTCGGTAATTCTCAATTTCCTGTCCATAAAAAAACAGAGAAAATATTTTTTATGATCTTATCTTGCTTTATGTCTTATAGCCTTAAAAATGCCGAACGGAAGACAATAATTTTCCATGTATTCCACAAAACCAAATGAAACATCACCGCAACTTTCATATAATTTTATTATAATTAGATACTCGGGTAGTTACCAGCTGCTAATCACATATTGGAATTTGGTTTGGATTAATTGGTTTACTATTAAAAGATGATTTAACTGATGGAAAGTGTTCTAAACCTAAAATGTTAAGAATAGGGATTTCACACAGCTGGTACACCAGATTTCACAGATAGCTATTTTTCACCACACTTAGTTGTCTTTACGAATACTAACATAAATTGAAGCCATACATTTTGTCAAAAAGACATAACAATTAACACACTGTAATAAAAAGCTGTAATTAGTTCTTAATTTGATTTAGCTTTTAAAAAATAATTTAAATTAGTCCACTGACTAAGTATCTTTTTTGTGATATTTTGTGCTTTCATTTCTTTGGACAGCTGCGTCTGTCTGTTGGAAAGACCTGTTTATAAATAAATAAATAAATAAATACCTTATTTAAAACGAGTATTTCTTTCCTTCCAGTTCCTTCATAAGGAGGCTGTAATAACCTAGTTAGTCTGCCTAGAAACTGTAAAAATATTAGGTAACCATGGATTAAGAAAAGTAATTAACAATGTAGAAGCAGTCGGTGACTCAACTTTCTATCGCTTAGATTTACATTAAAGATATGTACTGATGGATGCATATGTAAAAGAGCGCATCGGATTTGCAACATAATGCGCTTTTCAAATCGAGTTCATCGATTTCTTGCAGCGTAAAAAATTGCCAGTAGAAAACTGGTTGACAAACATCCCAGATTTCCCTTGTTATCTTTTTAATTTGTGAGCTAATGATGTAACCCTAATTTCTATAACTGCTATTGCTAATTAGTCCAGTGCAATAAAAAATGTAGATATAATTTTGTGATACTTTCGATATAATAGGCCGTTTGCAGCAATTTTGAATTTGAGGCGAAACATCACGACCTGTGGAAATCTACCTAAAAATTAATTTTTTTGAAAAAAAAAACATTTCATGAAAATATGAGGTCACACAAAAACACCTTGTGACGTCACTATGCATTGAATGTGGAGCGGTGGGACTATGTAAAAAACCTTCATTGTTTAAAATGTGGATTCTATAGTATTGTCAATATATTTAACAAATATTTAAGGTAAAGGAACTGACTTTAAGTTATACGCATGTACTATACCGGGTGACAAAAGAAAGTGGGAACATTCTATAACTTTTAAACGGCCTGAGATAGCGATTTGAAATTTGAAATGGTTAATGGTTGCTCTCCCCTATTTTTTTTGCATTTTTGGATTCAGGAGATCATTCTACGTTTTTTAAAATTTTTATTTCATTTTTGAAAATTGTGGAGGCTGTGACCATATTTACCAGATCACCTGATCATGGGAAAAATTGTAAATAAATTTTCTTTACTTGTCTAATGGGAAATAGCATTTAATATAATGAACTATTAATTTTTTAGGATAACCTAATTTTTTTTGCAAATAGCACCCTAGTGAAAACAAAAACTTTTTAAAACCGGTACTTTTTTGCAAGATTTTAACACCAAAAATTTCAAAATCCGTTTAAAAATAAGGTCACAGGAAGGAAAAAACCGGATAAGTAAATACATTTTTATAAAGACAAAATATTACTTAGGCGACCTTGCTTCTATTCATTATTAGTTGTCAAGTCCGTAAGATTGAAAATGCAGAAAAAAATCTCGACAATGAAGTGAAAAGAAAAAACATATTAGCATTAAAAAAAATGTGAGAGTTTCTTCTGAGATTTAACGATTAGAATTGTTTTTTACTTGATAGGCTTTTGGAATACGGGATACAGTCAAAAACTAACGGAAGTATTGCATGTATACGTATGTCATAAGCTACAAGCAATTTTTACTGGAAACTCAGAAGGACAAGAGAATAGAAATATTTTTTCTTCTTTTCAAATCTGTCACTTTTTGAGATAATTCAACACAATATTTTGAAAATCTGTTTGAAAATAAAACCTCCACAATGTCGGTAGAATCGATTTGAAACTGGTATATCAACGTTTGCTACTGTAAGACAAGTTTTACATTGATACGAAACATCACATTCAATTTTAAATTTATTTGAATTAAATAAGTGCGATTCTTGTATACGACACTTCCTGGTTTTAGAAATTACATTCGCTATAACCCTTCCTAACATTTTATACTATCAAATGCAGCCGATATTCTCCGCTTTAATTTTTGTAGACCGAACACTGGAGTTACATAAACACGGTCTTTCACATACTCCCAGACAAAAAATCTAACGGCGTCAAGTCCGGTGACCGTGGGGGCCAATTGGCTGAACCATGTGTTGAGATTAGTCCATCCCCATAAACATCACGTAGGTGTTCACTGACATCTCTAAAATTATGAGGAGGCGTGCCCTGAACAAAATTAAGTTAACGAAATTATTATTCTTGTCATGTTTATCTAACAGCCAATTACAATATCAAAGTCTTCTTACAAAGTCAGCTTCATAAAGATGTTGATGAAGGTTATACTTAATAGAATGATAGGCAGATTCTCTTGAGCTGTCTTTGTTTATAATAAAACTATCATGTCGATTATTTTGTGGATTTCTCATTTTCGATTCGAGCTTTCTAAAGAAAGAATGTACAGGAAGGCGACTTCCCAGATAGCGGACTGCATACATTCCACGGGCCTGTCGAGAGTTTTTTCTGCATTCCCCGTATATCAGAAAAATATCAACTTTTTCTCCATTTGTAAATTGATTAATGTTTTGATAATTCAAATCGATAACACGACAAAATCGATAATCAGATAAAAATGTAAAAACTGTCAGAATTTTCAATCATGTCGACTTGATGAATACAAGCAAAATTTTTCTACTCCCGTCTGTAAAATACCTAATTATACATCGATCTAGCGTGCGGGAAGTGTAACATGACCACGTCAGTTTCGTTTCCCACGGATCCAAGTCACTTCGGACATTTCCGGAATTTTACCGCACGGGTTTGGGAGCAATCGGATGTTTCACGCTTTGAATTTTAACGTTTGTCAATTCTGACGGTCATGTCGTGTTGTTTTGCGAAAATGTACCCAACAACTAACGGTAGTAGAAAAAAAATATAGTATGCAACACGTTCGTTAAACTTTTAAACTCACGAGTTTATTTGACACGAGCGGAGCGGAGCCGTTTACCGCACTTGTTGCATAATACACTATTATTTATATGTTTTTTTTCTTCCTGTAAGCTTATTTTTTAACTGATTTTAAAAATTTTGGTGTCAAAATGTTGCGAAAAAAAGTACTGTTTTAAAAAGTTTTTGTTCTCACCAAACTAGGTTATCCTAAAAAATAATAGTTCATTACATTAAATGCTATTTAATAGAAAAGTTTCATTTACAATTTTTTACATGTTCAGGACACCCGGTCAATACTATTTATGATCGGCACAGCCTCCTAGACACAATTTTCAAAAATTCAAAAAAAAAGAAAAAACCCGTCCTATCCTACGTAAAATTCAAAAATGCAAAAAATATAGGTTGTGCCATTTGAAACTCGAAGGTTACTATCGTTTCCGCTCAAACGGAAGACTACATATTGTCAAAAAATTGAACGTTCTCGAAGCACTTCTGTTAAGCACTTTCTGGTGTTGCCTTGAGTTCTTTCAGTTCTTCCAGGATTTTTTCTTTATCTTTATCTCAATCGTTCTAAATCTCCTTCCTCTCATGGGTTTCTTGAGTTTTGGAAACAGGAAAAAATCGCAGGGGGCCTATCCGGTGAATATGGTGGCGGAGGCATGATTGTGGTTTTGTTTTTGGCCAAAAAGTTACACCAACAGGTGCATTATCATGATGCGAAATCCATGAATTGTTTTCCCAAAATTCCGGACGTTTTCTTCGTGTTATTTCTCGCAAACGGCGCAAGATAATACTCTTTATTGATCGTACGACCCTTTGGTAAGAACTCTTGATGTACTATGCCACGATAATCAAAACAGTAAGCAAAACTTTGAAATTTGATCGAACTCGACCTACTTTTTTCGGTCTTGGCGATTCTGGATTCTTCCATTGGGACAACTGGGCTTTGGTTTCGACGTCATAACCATATACCCATGATTCGTCACCAGTTATGGTCTTTTTGAGCATATCGGGATCATAACTGACGCCATTTAACAGTTCTTCGATGGTTTTTTTTGTTCAAAATTTTGCAGTTTCGGAACAAATCTTGCTGCTACACGTTTCATAATAATTGCACTGCACGAGACAATAGAGATGCCGAGAGCTTCAGCCACTTCTCCAATAGTGATTCGAAAATTTTTCAACACCATTTGTTTAACTTTTTCTACGCTCGGAGCCTTCTCAGCCATCTTGGAACAGCTTGTAATACTTGGCTCAAAATAGATTCACCATATGCCGTTGTCACAATTTCAAGTGTTTTGCAGCACTGTACTCCATTTTTTTACATAAAATTTTATGCATATTCTTTGTTCTATTTTTTTACAGCAAAAAAAGTAAACGTGCAAACTTGATGTATACCAAAAAAAATATATCGAGGATCGAATATACGTAGCCCGCCCAATTACAAAAGTCGACTTACTTTTTGAACACATCATTTTTTAAATTATTATGAATTAGTGTATTTGTATTGTGTATATAGTATAATATGGAAGATTTGCCAAGTATGTTTATCAATCTACTAATAAACATTTCTAGCAAATAAAAACAATTCGTGCTATTTGCACCTGATTCTTTATTTCCTAAACATATTTATTAGTTGATAGTAGATTTAGAACACACCTGCTAAATATTTTTGAAATACATCAACTCAAAATAATTTTACATACTCATCATGATATCTCATATAAAGTAACGAATAACCTGTAGTTAAAAGAGACAAGTTTTACAGTTCCCATTGGCTGATCTTAAATTTATCGATCTTAACGTCATAAAGCTTTTTCAGCTAACGTCATATTTAAAACGCTTTAGGTGAACTGTTAGTCACTAGATGTATTAGAAATAATTCATTTTCAAGAAAAAAATACTATCAGGTAGACTTGCGTAGATCATGTTTATTCTGAAATTTAAAATTCGTACGAGAAACAATGCAGTTGTGCGAACTGTGCCGTGCGGTCCGACTCTGCAGGCACAGAATAGACAATGTGTCTTCAATTTACTGTAAGAGAATTTTTTTTGTAAATATTGAAATTTTATTAAATGTTCGATACAAGTATTTAGAAAAATCGCTTTTCCTTCGCCCGAACAAGTTATCCAGATGAAAGTGGAAATGGAAGATATTGATGATAGTACAATTTGCGATTCTGTTGTAAGCAAAAACCTAACCTATTTTTTTTTACAAATTTTTAAATGTCGGTTATCTGCTCTTTAATTTTTAAAGAAACCAAAAATATATTGTTATTAGCGTATAAGTGCCTAGCCAGTGCCTGGACACTGGTACTTTGCGAAGATTTTATAAGAAGCAAAATTAACTTTGTTTTTTTAGTCCTCTCTTGTAGAAGGATGCCGACTTCCAGTCCACATGAAAGGCACACACGATTGGCGTAAGTTAGAAAGTCGAATGCAAAGTATTTTATATTTAGAAATAATATTTTAGCACTGGCCGAAATAATAAGCATCAAAGATATGCAAGGTTCAAAATATTATTATGTTCATTATGTTGATTGTAAGTAGACAGCTTCAAGTAATTCAGTAGTTTGGCGCTCTTACAAATATACCGAATTTTAGTCAATAAACGGCTGGACGAATGGGTAACAGAAGAATCATTAGACACCCGAAAGGTCCATTTTCCTCGGAAAGATACATGTACTGGTACAGGAGTGTCAACACCTAAGAAATTACTTATTGGAAGCGGAAATAATGGGACTATATCTAGACCATCAAGCCCCATTCTCAACAATGCTGAATTGGTAAATGGAAATGCAGTTCTAGCAGCTGCATTGCAAAAACGAATGAACAGAAAAAGAAAAGGTCCATCCTTGGAAAGTGAAGATTCACAAGATGGAGTGGTCCCTCCAGCAGGCCCCAGACAATCTGGCAGTATGGTATCACATCATGATGATGTTGTTACAAGAATGAAGAATATAGAAATGATTGAATTGGGAATGCATAGGATAAAACCTTGGTATTTTGCCCCTTATCCACAAGTAATTTACCGGAATTGGAATTTTGACATTTTATCATGTTCAGGCATTTTAGGAAATGGTGCATCTGCCCTGCATTTATATATGTGAGTTCTGTCTTAAATACCGGAAAAACCGTAAATGCCTTGAACGACATTTGGTAAAGTGCAATCTTAGGCATCCACCAGGAAATGAAATATACCGAAAAGACACAATTTCATTCTTTGAAATAGATGGGAGAAAAAACAAAGTCTATGCCCAAAATTTATGCTTGTTAGCTAAACTGTTTTTGGATCACAAAACTTTGTATTATGACACAGATCCATTTTTGTTTTATGTTATGACAGTCTTTGATCACAGGGGCTTTCATATAGTTGGTTATTTTTCAAAGGAGAAGGAGTCCACAGAAGATTACAATGTAGCTTGTATTTTGACACTACCTCCATTTCAAAGGAAAGGATATGGAAAATTACTGATTGAATTTAGTAAGTTGCCTTTTGTTTGTTGGCTTTGTCTTTTCTTAATTTAAGCATAGGAACTATTCAGTACCCTCAAAATAAATTAAAAATTGTGATTTGGTGAATTTTCGGTGAAAAGAAAAGTGTCGATTGATAAATTTGAGGTTTTTTTAGGTTACGAATTATCAAAGTTTGAAGGAAAAACTGGCTCTCCTGAAAAACCCTTATCAGATTTGGGGTTACTGTCATATCGCAGTTATTGGGCCCAAACCATATTAGAGATACTGCTGTCAATAAAGCCGGTGGGGGAGAATGAAAAACCACAAATTACCATTAAGTTTGTATAATTATTAACGAGTATTCATGAACTAAAATGTCCCCTTTTTTTAGCGAAATATGCGAACTTACAAGTATTAAAAAAGAAGATGTCATTTCAACTCTTCAAAACTTGAACCTCATAAATTACTATAAAGGCCAGTACATCATCACCCTCAGCAAGGAAATCATCCAGGCACATTACAAACAAGAAAATAGGAAAACTAGAATAGATTCAAAGTGTTTGCATTGGACTCCAAAGGATTGGGGCAAGAGAGCAAAGTGGTAACACTGAACTTCACCTTTGAAAACCTCTCCTTAATGAACATTTAGGATAATAAAGGAAGCGACGGCAGCTATACTTTGATTTTTGATGTAACAGGTGTATCATGTGGTTTTGTCAGTATCTATATATATCACAGAAATATTATGCGACAAGTTGTACTACAATCTCAGAAGAAAAATACTTCTAGTTAAGAAAATTCTTTCTTGAATTGTATGTGTATGTATGTGTGTATGTGTTTCAGCTTGTACTGAAGAGTCAATTTTCTTAATGATAAAATAGACTGTTTAGAATAACATGTTAGGATAATACCAGTTTTTGCAAGAAAGAAATTTAAGGTTAGGACTAGATTAGACCAGAGTAACTTTCGGTTTATGTTGCCGAAGAAGACATCTGGTTCAGCATTCATAACTGTTTGTTTATATCGGCAGCAGCTTTCTAGGCATGGTATTAGAAAAATTTTCTAATTTCCAGACTTTCGAAATAAAGTTGGAGTTCCCTTTATTTATTTAGTGCATTGAGTTCAATTTACATCCTGTTCGAGTGGTTTATAAGTTGAAGTATACTTGTAATATATTCGTGTATATAAGACAAATTAAACATTTTTTTTCAAAGAAACTCCTCAGGCTACTGTAATACTTTTTGTAAAACTTCTGGATTCCTCCTGCGTCGGTTTTTGTTAATTCGAACTTGCAGTTTCAGTCAAGCTCCGAAGAATGTTAGCAAGTTTGATCAACAAAAACCGACGCAGGAGGAATCCAGAAGTTTTAGTTAAAAATAAATTAAAATTAATTAAAAACGCTAGTTCATCTTTTGTTCCAAATCCCATTTTTTTTATCCAGGTACTTTAATGTTCTTTGTTCAACAGCCGATATAAATTCAATTTTACTTTTTTTATGTACAATGGAATATATAGAGTATATGTTGACAAGACAAATTTTATGGTGTTTGTACAAATTATGTGCAGAATTGGAACTAAAATATCCATATAGCTATTAAAAGTATGACTAAACTTATAATGCAGAAACTTTTGAAACTAATATGCGCATGCGCGCTTCAGTTCAACCAATAACAATTATTATTTTAATTCTTATTTTCGAAAAATAATAATTTTCGATTTTTAACAATCAACATGACAGTTCGTCAATTCTATAGTTTTTCATTGAGATGTCCTAGTATGTCCAAATTGCATTAAATTTTAAAGGAAAAACGAATTAAGTGTGTGTAAAGATTTTTGTTTAGGAATAAAATTCTATAATGCGCAGTTACTGTCGATAAAATGTCATGAGGTGCGTCAGTTTTAAAGTATTAACAGTCCTTATATTTTCTAATACCTATATGCAAATACATCTTTCTACTCCCTTCTGTAAAATACCTAATTATACACCGATCTAGCGTGTACTAAGCGACACTTTGCTACGTGGTTTTTTGTCCCACCGATCCGAGCCACTTCGGACACTTCTGGGATTTTATCGCACGGGTTTGGGAGCAATCGGACGTTTTATTATATTTTTTCTTTTCCCTTCTGTAAAATACCTAATTGGACACCGATCTACCGTGCGGGAAACGTCACTTTACCTCGTGAGTGTCGCAATTGTTCCACGGATCCGAGCGCTTTTGGACATTTCCAGGATATTACTGCACAAGTTTGGAAGGAATGGATGTTTACGGAGATTTTACCGCATGGCTGAATTTTGACGGCCATGTCCGTGATATATCTAATCTAATATATTCGTGTTTTGCAAAAATGTTCCCAAAAACTAATGATCGTAGAAAAAGTATATGTGCAACAAGTTTGGTAAATTTTTAAGTCACATTGGCACCATCATGTTCAGCCAACTACTTTATCGGCATTAGACCTTATTGCAACTCTTCCCCGTTTGAGGTCGCTCTTGTCATTGTGTTCTGGCGTTTTCCAATTTTAACCCTTTTCTTAGTATTCTGAGATCCTTTCGTGGTTCCCCTTTGAGTGTTGTTTCGTGACACGCGGTGGATCAAGCAAAATGCTAGGTTGGTATCAATTATTTTGAAGATATTAAAGACATTCCAAAATGTAATGTGGCGCAAGTAAAAAATTGCTTGGTTACATTTTCTGGCATGACTTTCATAACTGAGTACTAAGATAAACCAGTTCTCAATACCAATTTTGAAAAGCGATTCTCGTTACTTTCGCAAAATCGATGAAATCGAAAAGCGATTGGCAACGAAACATCTCGGCAACGGTTGGCCCTAGGGGACCTCCATTGTACAGAACAGAGAAAAATCTTTTTTTCGCCGCTGATCATTTCTGTACCAATGGCGGTCCCCTAGGACCCACTGTTGCCGAGATATAAGCTTTGTTGCCAAGCGTGTATACTCTCGAAAAATTCGATTTCATCGATTTTTCGAAAAATCTTCGCCCCCTGGGGCGAGTTCGTAGCATGTAGCAGCTTTGTATCTCAAAGAAGAAACTTCGCGGTTTCTTGTCTTAGAGGGACGCATTGTTTTTCTATCGTGCTCCTGTGGACCACTATGGAACTTTCGGAAAATCGATGTAATTTTTATTATCCATGTATTCCGCATAAAATGAATTTCACGTATCGCCGAACTTCAAAGTCACGGCAAACGTTGGTAAATATAAAAAATTTGTATAAATAATAGCGATTTCCATTGACATTTTTCTAAATGTCTCATGCACCCTGTGTGATAGACGAAACCCCATGTTTTATTTTTTTTATTTACGGCTAATAATTTAACCTCGACAACGGCAAACCTTGTATATAACTCAAAAAATGTTCAGAGGCTATAGCCTTGGATGTCCCGGTTTCCTGATGTATGAATTTTTCTAATAAAGTAAATGGTTTTCGAGAAAATCCTTGTTTTGTGAAATCATGCAGTACGCCGTCTTAATAGTAAATGACGTCATCACATCTAGACTGAGTGTGAGGTATAGCGACTGTCACATAATCTTGTTCAAATATCTCGAGAATCGTATGTGATAAACGAAAACCGTAAATACAAAAATTGTAGCCTTCCATTCGACATATATTATTGTGCTAACCAAATATATAGCCATATCTTTTACGAATTTTGAATCACGGCTAATAAGTTAATGCCGAAAAGAACCATTTTCAGGGTGTTTTAGATTTCTAATTGAAAAACCCTGTATATAATCGAAAAAATTGTGCCGAATAGGTTTATAGTTTTCGAAAAAATATTTTTTTTCAGGAAGCCAAAATATCCTACAACAAAATTTTCAAAATTAAAAGAAAAAAACCTTCGCGCGATTCGATTGAGTCCAATTTTAACAGTTGAAACTTGGGTTCTATCTTTCTGCCAAATCTCAAGTCGATAGCTGCAAATTTAAGACACCTGTTAATTTTTCAATATAGTACGAAATATCTTGAACACCCTTTACATGTAAAAACCTTAAATACAAAATTGTTTATGCGGACTATATCGTCATATAAATGAAACTGACGTTTCAAATACAGTCTTTTAGTTATAGCCAATTTTCATTTATATGGGAACCCATTTTTCAGTTTTTTTGAACATGAGGCGCATCCTGTACATTTTTGAAATAATAATAATAATATAAAATAATAAAAGCCGACTCGTCTGCGTCTTCCTGTTCAAGAAATTATTCGTTCGATTAAACGATTTTGGAGAAATCGAGACTATTTTTCATTGGCTTATGTATCTCATGGACTGCTTAAGAGAAACGAAATCTGAAAGCCGTGTGCAAAACCGTTTGAAAGTTATAACAAATTAATGGCCCGTCTACAGATGAACAGAAAACAGAGAACGGATAGACAAAGAAGTGTTTCTTTCTCGACGCAGAATCCATCTGTACCAATGGCCCTGTAGGACCAAGCGCGTACAAGGAACTATTTTTCATTGGCTTATGGACTGCCTAAGAGGAACGAAATCTGAAGGTTGTGTGCAAAATCGTCCGAAAGTTATAACAAATTAATGACTCGTCTACAGAGGAACGTAGAACAGAGAACGCACAGACAAAAAAAGTGTTTAGTTTTCGATGCATAATGCATCTGTACCAATGGCCCTGTAGGACCAACCGTTGCCAAGCGCGTACAAGGAAGTTAGTGAGATTCTTATGAGATACCCTGTATAACAGCAACTATTTGATTTGATTAAAATCTGCGGTATTCTACAACTAATTGAAACAGGGCGTGATAAATAAAACGAACGCGTGTGCTTCTAGATATTTATTCCGATACCAATATGATGTCCAACCTCTTTATAATATTACTTACTCTTATATATACAAACGAAAATTTCAATTAACGCTCGTGCGGTCTGCGCAACACGGGTGAACACAAACGTCCTGCCCAAATGTCTAAATAAAAACCGATTTCAAAAATAATTTATTCAACAATGACAAATGACAACAACTCCTCGTAAAAACGAAGAACGCAATTTCATGAAAAATGTCTACAAATTATCGCGCAATAAATAGTTTCGTAACAACTCCCTCCCATATATATAAATACAAATTTATTTTACAGTCACATTATCGAACACAAACCGGTCAGTTCGCTACCTTTCTTCACGGGAGGCAACTTTTTCAACGTTACGTTTTCTAAGCCCGGTTTCAAAGGAACAATGTCCGGTTCTTCGCCGGGCGGGTAAGGTTCGTTGGGATCGATCGTAGGAACAACACTCTCTAAACTACTGGCACTAACTTCGGTCTCTTTCTCTTTCTGAGATATCACAGGCAACGGTTTGCTAATATTTATTTTGATTTTGTTACCGCCCACGCCGCTGGTCGGCACCTGTACCGGCACGTTCGACACCAATTCGATGTTACCGTCGATGGAGGTGACTAGTTCCGGATGAGACGGTGCGCTCGGACTTGTTTCCCTTGGCGTTTCCACGATTTCGGTCGTTTGTTCCGGCCTCGACTTTTCGTTGATCGATACTAAATCATCTAGCGTCGCAAGAAAAACCCAATGAGTTTTATTCCATACAAAAACGGACAAAATTACATAGAAAAAAACATTTTAAAGCCTAGATAAAATGGAAGACTAGTGACGTGATCGCTTTCCGAGCGAAATTATTTTTCTCTCCCTATAAGATTAGTTTTATACTGACAATAAGCTCATAGGTAATTGAAGAATTGAAAATTTGGGCGTGATGTTTCAGAGGTAAATTTTTATGTACAGCAACTTAATTTTTTTAAGTACAGAACTGCATTTTTTATTTAACATGATACCGAAGGGACTAATGTAAATTAGAAAAAGCTTCCTCAAAAAACTACGCTCGACATGGTAATACTTTATTGGCACTATCGACTGGGATGGGGAATAATACAAATAAATACAAAATTACCTATAAGAGAAATCTGTGGTCTAAAAGCCACTACGAAAAATAGTGTTTTTTGTAGTTCTAAGAAAAATCAATATGCTAGTTTTCCTTCTACGAGATGTAAATGTGTAATGTAACATATGTAATGTAAATAAAAGATGTATTTGTGTCTAAAAAACTTACAAGGTATTGTAAAGTTTTTGACAAAAGCTTTTTCTTTTTGCTCGATATTTAGTTTTAAGTGTATTTAAGTGTTTTTTTTAATAATTTAGGTTAGTTTTACTGTTTGTTTAAAGGATATTTTGTTTGACTATTATTGAAATTCTTCCTAAAAAAATGACCGCTCTGACCATTAGCGTTTCAGAAAACTGTGCGAGTAATGAAGGGTTAATAATTTTTTTAAAATTATTTTTGCTTAAGCAATGACCTAATAATAAGGTATAAGTAAAGTATTCAAGTATATTTGTTGTTGTCTACTTCCATTAGCAGCCGGATCTAATCAGTCAACGAAAATAATAAAATCTTTAAGTGACCAGTATTTATACTGATGAATTCGACGACTATCACTTACCGCAACCTTATTTGACGTTTTAAAATGTCGTTCAACCAACTCATAGTATTTAGACGTTATATTTTACTCTTTTCCTCTTAAACCTCTCGTGTAATCAGCTGCTAGCATTCTACAGTCAAAATTTCGGCTGCTGACTATCATGTGACGTGTAGGCTGCTATTGTGTGCGCTTATCTTTATTTCGCCTTATTACATATTTATGTTTTCTTTAGGGAATATATTTATGAATAATTTCGTGCACTTAAATTTACTGATCATTATTCGATATCATAGTGATACAATTAAACTGTACCAACTTGTCTTGAAATCGTCGGTGTAATAGTAGTATTACACGTCTATTGCTCCTTACAGTTTGCAAGGATACATAGAGCAAATTTTGACTAGGAATTGATGTCGTCACTGTACTATTTTTCTAATAAATCCGGCCATATACCCTTATTATTTGCTGACGCGCTACCTCTAATTTTAGGTGCTTTAGTACAAATTTTATAATTTTCTGTATATATCCGATGACAAAGGTAGGATGACTCTAGTCGCTTGTTTAAAATTGTTTGGATTGCATGGATAAATTTTAATTAAACTATTTAAAGATACAGGGTTCGGTTAAATGGGATAAAAGTTGTGAATTCAGATATGTAATTGCCTTATAAAATACATAATTATACAAAAGTTGTAGTGCAGTTTTTTTTTGTTTTGTCCACAACATGTCCTAATTTTCAGCTACTACTGACAACATTAAAATTTTAAATAGAATGGCCCTGTATTTTTGGCCGTTTTTAGAATTATTATAGAAACTTAAATGAAATTCATAATTAGTACAAAAAGATGGCATATTCTATTTAGAATTTCAATGCTGTTAGTGGTAGTTCAAAATTGGGATACTCTATAGAACGCGTTTCAAACCTACAACTTTTGTATTGTAACTTTATTTTTGCTGGAATTGAAAATAAATGTGCTAGGAAGAAAAATTGAAAAATTTGTTTTTTTCAAAAATAGTTCTTTAGGGGCATTATGCTTCTAAATACACAACTTTTTAAATCTATTGAAAAAGTGGCCACTATATTGCATTAAAAGTAATATAAACATTTTTTGGTTTGTTCTTGCACAAATAAATGAAAACAGGAATATATGAGGTTTTTTCTAAGTATGTTTACAAAATCTAGTTTGCTAACCTCAAAACACCAAGAAACGTTCTCATAAAAATAAGATCGCGAGTTGGTGGCTTTTAGACTACATGTTGATAAAACCGAGTTCTGTGATATCCACGACTGTTTGTAAATGCGGATCTTCTACTATTATAACCACATTTAGCGAATATTGAGAAATTTGGGTTCACCTCATAGTAAAACTGCTGACTCAAACATATATTCAAATCTAGTCAGCAGTTTGTGACAAGATTGATTAACTTTAAAATCGACTAAAATTTTAGTCGTGCATTAATTTAAATCAAAGTGTATATGTAAAAGAAGCAAGAATTGGTTTTTACCACCTTCAGTTGTTGAACCTGTAACATCCTTGAATTTAAATGGTCACTTATTCGGATATGAAAATTACTCAGTCATTCCTCAAAAAACGAAAAACTAACAACCTGTATGTCAAAAACTAATATTTATGTAGAATATCAGAACATTCTTTCATCTGTAAGTATATGATTTCAATATTACTCATATCGTTCAAATCACACAGTTGACTTACTATCTATCTTGTGTTAAAGTATTACCAGATTACTGTAGGGATAAACTATTTTTTTTGTGAATCTAAATGATCAGCAGTAAAAAAATAACAAAAGGAAACTTACCCGGGTCGATAGGCTCCGACTTAATTTTGATCTGCCCGCCCTTATTCAAGCTCACAAACCCTTCTCCTACGTCCACGAAACCGTCATCTTCCACAGGCTGCTTTTCTTTCTTCACCCTATTACTGAACACAGGCACCGCGTCGGCAGCCTGATCCTCATCGTCGTCATCATCCACGACGATTTTGATCGGCGCCACTTCATTGAGGATTACGTCATCATCATCGTCTTCATCTTCCATAGGTTCTTCAGTGGCATGCTCTTCGATCGGTCCTTCTTCTGCGGCCTTGGATTCTTCTTCCTCGTCGTCGTCTGGTAGAGAAACGACGTCATTCGGTGAACCTGGGACGTACTCTTCATCTTCGTCATCGTCTAAAATGATTTCCAGGCCCGGAATGAGCTTATTCTCTTGTCCTGTGAGCAACTCCTTTTTGCTTTCGTCTAGGGTTTGGTCCAGAAGAGACTTCTGGAAAATTATTTCAATAGTGAAATGTTGACAATTTTAATTAATGAAATTGTCAAAATTATCAGCCGATAATATTATATATAAAAATAAGTAATAAATAAATATTTCAGCAAAACCATACAATGTTTTATAGACAATATAAATAAGTAACAACTAAAATAGAATCATTATCATTCTTCAAATTCTAAATTTGCAAAAAAAGCATTAAACAAAATACTGATTTGCTAATACTAAAAATATTTGAGCGCATAATGGCTGATTCAGTGTGCTGTGTGGTGCACTCATTTATATTAATACTTTAAATAATGTTTAAAATTCTTTTATACAAATAAATATATATCATTTTTTTGGAAAGTAAATAAACAGCAATTAAATATCAAGATAGACACCAAGTGATTGGCATAGACAACATATTTTTCACTATTTAAATTAAGCAGCTAGACACAATAGACATTATTTTGACTGCAGTGTGTCTAGGATATTGCTCAAGTCACAAGTCTGGCGTTAAGATTATGAGATAGTTCCTGCTTATAATAAGTTGTCTTCAACATAAAGAATTTTTAACTTTATATGAATTGGTTTTTTTATACAGCAAATCAATAGCATAATTTTTATAACATACTTCGGGCAATTTGCACTTTCGTAGCGAATTTTCTTACCAGCGTTCCCCCCCAAACCACTCAAAAATCGCATTCACGTCTTCTTTCCCAGTAATATTTTCACCAAGAATCGCCCCCAAAGATATGATACTGCTTTTTCTTTCTGCATTTTAGATTCATAATTATGTTTATTTTTAAAAAGTTAGGTGATAATCTTTATAATAGAGAACAAGCTAGGAATTTGGTTTTTTCAGCATTAAGAGAAAGTTAGCTAGTGTCTAACCATTTATTTAACCTAAATATAACCATATAGACGCTTTTTTTGTAGATTCTCATTACTGGCCAGTTATGACCGTTTTGCTGATGATGCAGCCATCAGCAAAACGGCAAACTTAACCTAGATTCACAACTCGTAAGAATCCGTTAAAATACATATTAAACAACAGAGCCGCCGGTATGGTGGTACCTTGTGGCACATCAAACTCCACTAGACTATCACCATTAAGTACATTTTGAATTCTAACCTGTTGTATTATTTCCCGTTATCCGATCGCCACTGAGTCCAACATTTTTGGCAGGTCCAAAAATATACTCAATAACTTTTTTACCCTTGTCAAGGTTTTGTCCAATACCCCCCGATACATTCTGGTGCATACTCCATATTCAACCCTCCTCTGAATCCCCACTGATGCTCAATTTATATTTATTTAAGGATGCTAATTTACACTTGATAAACTTTTCTATGATCTTACTGATAGTACTCATAGTAATAGGACTATAGTACAATAGTATAACAATGACAATGAAAAACTCCTGTACTGAAAATGCTATTTCCAGTAGGTTTAAGTGTTTCAATAAACAAATATGATTCTGATCAAGCTATATATTTATTAATATATCAGCCAACAACATCAGTAAGATAATAGACGCAATATACATCAATGAATGTAAATCACAATTAAAGTAATATTTATTAGGATGATACATATGAATCCAAATTTGAATGTGTAAATAAATAATCAAAGTTTGGAAATTATGAATTGCGTTAAATATATATTCTTTAATATCAATTTAATTTAGACCTCTAAACAGTTACCAATTAAATGGCGCCAAGGCCTTGTGAATAACAGTAACAGAATAAATAAATATAATATTCTAGTAAAAATGAATATAGTAATTTGTTAACATTCTATTTTTTTTATAAAGCCTTTCAGGTTATGACACATTTTCTTAGTAGTGCCCTTTAATATAGTTTTTATACTTCTGTAAATTGGCGAATCTTGTTTCTTTTTGGTCCTTGCATATGCATTTTTTAACTTATCATTGCTTCTTGTGCTGTAGTTGTATCAATTTCACATTTGTTTTAAGTTTCTTCTAGTATCACGCTTTCACGCGTTTTTAAATAAGTTCATGTACTTTAAGTGCTTTATTTTGTACGAAGCTATTATACAGGGTGTTTTCTAATTGAATGTCAATAATTAAAAGGTTTTCAAAAATAACATATATTTTTTTAATATCTTTAGATATCTTAATGAAATCCGGCACACATGTACTATGTATCAAGAGGCATTATTTAGTGTACCACATTTTTTTTAAATACACAGGTGGCGGGCGTATCGAATTTAACTTGTCTATTTTGGCAGATACTGATAGTACGCCACTAATTTCTCTTAAAATAAAAATTATTCTATCATTGATGGTACGTGAAGTGAAAATAAAAACCGTGCAACGGATTAAAAAAAAAATAAATCAAATCTGCTCATAAATGAATGCGAATGTCATCATATTGATAAAAGAAATCAGTGGCGTGCAACTGACTATCTATGAACAAATAATACTTTGGTGAATTAGGCCACTGCACTAGTTAAAACGATAACTTTTATTAGTGAAAAATAAAATATCTATCTAAAGCAAAATATCTAATTTTTAGTTACAACTAGAGTATTTCAGAAAAAAAAATTAGAAGACCGCTCTTTTACAGTTTTAATTAAATTATATAACATACTAACAACAAGATAATCTTATTTAAATTTATCTTATTTATTTAAGTTTACGTACTTCTTTTTTTATACTTCGATTTTTTGAAGTATTTTCATACTACAAATTGACAATTACTTAAGTAAGATGTGGCAAGTGGCATTACAGATATTAAAAAAATATAATTTGTTTTGAAAACTTTACCACCCTGTATCTCAAAAGTTAAAGACGTTTAGGACATATATTCATATGAAGTTTTCTTTTTACAATGAACTAAAAAGTCGCCCCTTTAATTATTGAAATTCAATTAGACAACAACCTGTATACCAGCTGCCTTGTTTTTTGCTTTGTTTTAACATTGGTACAGCTCTTTCCATTACTCACTCATTACTCAATTTGTTTATCCAGAAGGTGCTTTTGAGGCTTGTTTAAATATTATATAAATTGTTTCATGGGCGTTTAAGGAAAGTTTCTTATAGCACAGCCTTCAAGAAACTGCTTTAAATCTTAACGATATCTTCAAGCTGCTCCATCACCCGACTGATCTAACGCAGTGCCATCAGCAAATTTGAAGTACTTTGCTTTTAAGTTTGCATGTTTTTTATAAGCCACTTTGGCAATACAACGAAGTATCTGCCAATATTAACGACTGCAATTACCTCTCAAGCTTTAAAAAGGAAAGTGGAAACTATATAAAACAAAATATTGTACAGGGTGTTCAAATAAGTTGAAGTAAGCGGCTGTATCTCTGAAACCACGAATTGTACAGATTTGCGGCAAAAAATTCTATAACAAGTTATGAAAAGAAAGTATTGGAAATAATTCGTATCAAGCTCATATCTATGCCGCTGGGGTGCGTTACAACTATGTTCAGGTAGAATAATACATTTTACTAAATAATGTTTTATTATGAGTTTCTGGAGAATTTTTGGCTCATCGCTTTTAATTGTAGAGCATCCAATTATGATTGGGCCTTTTTTTAACATTTGAAAAGCAAATTATATTTCAAATTTTTATGGTCAAGTAATAAATGTTTGATTTCATCTACTTTCTGTTTCTGTTAAAATAATGGTATGTGAAATTGCGGAAAAACATTTAAAAAACTAGCGGGAGCAGTGTAAACCAGTTTGTCAAAGGAATGTTTTTGGTTAATAAGCACGAGTCCTTGCCCAAATATGTTGAATTTCCTTCCTTATTTAATGCCAAATAAAAAGTGATGAGTCAAAAAATGCCGAATTTTACAATAATTACAGTGTTCGTATGCTTTTATCAACTTACAATAAATCAATATTTAGTAAAATGCATTTTTCTACGCCATCATAACTATAACGCCCCCAACGGCATAAATATGAACTTGAAAGTTAATTTATTTGCCCACCCTACACTTTAATAATGAATTTTTTGTTTTGTTATTTGCTGTTATTGGTTTCTTTAGGTTGTTGTATCGGGGTCTGTTGGGCAAAAATAAGAGAAATAAATGTATGTCTGGCTATCAAAGTGCTAAATAAATAAGTACCTGGTAATCGTCATAACACACGGGATGGTAGGTTTTATTGTCCATTTTAATGGCGTTCCTCAGGTGCCATTCTTCCTTTTCCTCATTGAAGAACTGCTCGAAGATATCCCGGCAAACTTCGCAACGTTCGTTGGTACTGCTCGGGTCTGCGAGCACGCTAGGAATGTCGTTTTCTTCTTCCGCATCTTCAGCCGACACCTCAGCCTGCTGTTGCTGATCGAAATAATTCTTTTCTGAAATTTAGACGACCGTCTTATTGCCGAAATTAACCGCCAGATAACAACGCGTACCCCTCTCTTCGAGATCCTCGATCTCCTCGTAGTTTTTCCAATCGGCGAGCGAGTAGTACCATTTCCTACTGGCTGCCACCCTAATGTTCCTTTTTCCTTTCCGATTTTGCCGGAAATGCCAATCTAAATGCTGACTATATAGCATGCTGGCTTCGGGAGGGAATCTCATTCCACAACTACTGCATTGCATCCCGGCGTACAACGCGGTATACAACACGCTTTGCCTAATTTTAAGAGTTTCTGGTCTATTGAAATCTATGGGCCTCATATTTTGTATGAGATTGCGTTTCACTTGTTTAGGAGGCTCACCGGCCTCTGTTCTGCCTCTCTCTTTGGGTCTGGTCGGTAAAACTTTTGTCATTACCGGCGAATCCTTTTTAACCGGTTCCGACGGTACTGATTGTGCGGCTATTTGTTGCGTACCAGTCTTTACAAAGCCAGACGCTACTAATTTCTGGAACAGTTCGTTGATGTTCAACGGGGGCAACACCGCAGTAGCTGAGTTATCTCCTTTGGTTTCTTTGACGTCCGAGCTGCCAGGGACGTTTTCTACTTGGTAGCTTCCGGCAGATGGCGCAGACGTCATCGACGTTGACAGCGCGTTTGATATTACATCGAAATTGTCTAAAACGGCAACGAAATATCGAGTTAATGAAGCTTCGATTTTAATTAGAACCGAGTGATAGGTTACTTGCCACACCGCAGCGCCTGACATTTGTACTATTTTATAATGTGTAAAATTTTTGTGGTTTTTGACTGCGCTGATAACAGATAAACGTTTGTTTTTTTCTTCTTCTATATTTTGAGGAGTTAGATCTATTTTTTTTTTATTTTTTGACTACACAGATTTTAAAACAAATTTCGATTAGTTAAAACTTCTTGATGACCAGGAGAAATCATATCTGTTTAGATTGCTTTGTTTCTTCAGAAGTGTGAAAGTGTTAAAAAAACAAATATAAAAAAATAAATAACAAACGATAAAAATAGTCCTACTAAATAATAAATTTAGAAAACGAGTGCTAAAGTAGAATGTAACGACATGAATAGGCGACAAAAATCTTGTTTTTTCTATATATATTACTTTTTTGAGGAGTTAGATGGTCATTTCTGTTACTTTTTCAATTGACTAAGCAGATTTAAAAATAAATTTTAATTAAGCAAAAATTTTTGATGTTGAAGGTTACAAGATGAAATGACAACCGATAACAATTTTAAATATGTTAGCAATAAAAAGGCAAATGTGAAAAATAAATATAAAAATAAATACTAAATAACATTGTAAAGAGTGAATGTTTTGAAAAGGAGTGTACAATGTGACGACGTGAATAGGCTAACCCGTAATGCAAAACAAAGATCTTGTTTTTCATTCTACATTTTGCTTCTCTAAAGATGTAGATCGACATTCTTATCATTTTTCTAATTTTAAAACAAATTGCAATTATTCAAAACTTCTTGATGTTTTTTTTAATGCATTGGTAAAAAAAGAAATATAAATAAACTGAGTAACAAAACACTTTTCTATTTTTTTGACAACGCAGCAACATTAAATCCTATCTGGTTAGATTAATTTTTGTTCTATGTGTTAGTATATGACAAAAAATGAAAACAAACAAAAAAAATCCTACTAAATAACAGATCGGCAACACACAATGCAAAGAAACGTCTTCAAAAGAAATTTCAATTAATTAAAACTTTTTGATGTTAAATCTGGAAATGTGAAAAAAACGGCGTAAATGGGACAAGTCTTGTTTTTTCCATCTTTTACATTTTTAAGGAGTTTTTGCTATTTTTCTGCTTTTTGACTACTCAGATTTGTAAAACAAATTTTAATAAACTAAAACTAAACTAAACTAAAATTTGTTCATGTTGAAGAGCTACAAGATGAAATCTTAGCTGTTGTACTAGTACTGTTGTTCAATGCGTTAGGAAAATAAATTAAATTATAAAAAATCCTACTAAATAATAGACACACAATGCAACAAAAAAATGTTTTTTGCTTTATATTTCGTTCATTTGAGGAGTTAAATCGGCATTTTGTTACTACGCAGATTTTAAAATAAATTTCAATTAATTAAAACTTCTTAAAGTTAAAATAAATAAAAATTGTTTTCAAAATACAAAAAAGAAAAACAAAGTCAAGGATCTAACTTTATATTAATACTTTCTATATATTTATTTCCCGCTAAGTAAGTGTAGAGTTTTTGGAATGTTTTGACGTCAGATTTTAAAACGAGTTTTAATAATTAATTAAAACTGCCAAATATTAAAAGGTTACAAGATGAAAGACTAGCTGGTTAGATTACTTTTTTTTCAGACGTGTCGACAAAAAAGAGAAATGTGAAAAAAAGTCCTAATAAATAACAAGTACATAATCTGTGGAAGTGCAAAATAGAAAACACAATATTTTGGCCCTTTGAGCAGGTAAATCGACATTTTTGTTGGCCGCTAAGTCAAATAAGTGTAGTGTTGAGTACGCAGATTTTAAAACGAATTTCAATTAATGGAAACATTTTCTTTCATTTATTGAAAAGGGTTGGCAAAAAAAATTAAAGGGGGTCCTAACAAATACGATAAAATAAGATAAAAAAATGATGTTTTTTTTCTATATTTGGCTCCTTTGAGTTAGATCCATATCCTTGTTGCCCGCCAAGTCAAATGTAGGAACACATATCGAGCAGCACAAATAACAACAAATGAAACTTACTTAAGTTGGGCTGCAACAGATTTTGGAAGAAACTGGGTGACTTTGACCTGCTGTCAGGCGACTCTTGCCCGGTCACGTGTTTTCCATCGTTGACGCCGGCGCGCATAATCTGACCGGTTTCCGAAGTGATAACCACCGAATCCTGACTATCTTCGTCCAGTGCTGGGCTCGAACCTCTCTCTCCTTCCATATCCCGAATCCTCACGTGTCCCGGCTTAACACCTTTCGGTAGCAGCGAGAACCTGATAAAGTGTTTTTTACCGTGGATAGTAAAAGGTTTAGGGAGACCACCAAATTCAACTTCAAAAGGCATATCGTTTATTAAGACTGTTTTCAATCCATCTACAAACTTAAGAGTACTCTGCTCTCCGTCAATAACAAATTTTTGCTCTTTGGCATCGAGAAACACAGGCACAATTAACTTAGCATTAATTATAAGGGTAATCTTGCCCGCCACGAGGTCGGTCCTTTTGCCCTCGCCTATTTTTACTTGAGGCACGGGCCCGTCCAGCAGTACCGAAACCGAGGTACCGCCGTTTAAGGTTATGTTTATGGGCGCGCCGCCGAAATAGCACTCGTAACCGACGTTGTCGACGAAAATTTCACGCGTCGGCACGCCCAATTTCACTAAGCGCGGATCGCCATCTATCGAACACTCTTTGTAACCGTCACCGAACGACAGGTAATACGAGTCGGTTCCGTTAAAGGTGACGCGTCGCGTACCGCTCTGGAACGAGATTTCCCGCGGATCGTCCCAGTTTAAAAACACCACCGCCACTTCGCCGTATGTCCGTACGTCTCGCGGAATACCGTCGATGTTAATTGTCTTCAGGTCCTCTTGGAGTACCGTTAACTGTTCCGATGTTGGATCCGTCGAGGTTACCGAGTCTTCGAACTCTGGTATATATTGGTTGCGCCATTTTGGACGCGGCTGCTGCATCCACATACGGATCGGCGGTCGGGACGAAGGACCCGGCGTCCTCGTACCCCGACCACGCCAGTGCTCCACGCTGTGACCGGAATGAAAAAAAATACTAGCTTTAAACATAAATAACAATATTTTTGTTTGACAGTTTTTGGGAATCAACCTATCATTCGGATATTGTATCATGTATATCGAACCAAGTTTGATCTAGGTAAGTAAATTATATCTTTAAGTTTTGTTCACTTCAATTCAATAATTAACTGGTAATAATATGCTTTATTGAGGATATTGGAGTTTTTGAAAGTATGAAGATCATGATTACTTTTTCAAAAGCCAAGACGATATACTTTGAGAAACACTTTACATATAGACATATCAAGACTTTTAATAGAAATTAATGGAAACGCTAAATGAATGATCTTATTTCGTGTTTTTTCGTTGTTGCAGTAATTTTATTTTTATTTTAAAAATGTACTGCCTATTACCTATTTTGCGCTGCTCGAAAGGGATTTTTTTATTTGGTAGTTTTTTAGAAATTTTTTAGACAAATTTTGTTGCCACCCTATTTATGATTTATAAATTATAAAGTATTTTTATTTTTTTATATCTGATATAATTTGTGAAAACTTTTAACATTAAAAATATTTGACTCGCGGTACAACAAATGGCTTACATCCTGTAATAGTGTACTTAGAAAAATAGCGACTAATAAATATTAGTCAATAATTTAACTAATTAAATTTTTGTTAAACATTAGTTAATTCAATATGTATGTGTAGGAATGTATCTATAAAAATATATGGCGCCCTAACGGGGTGTTTTTAAATAAGTGGCCAAACTTCAGTGGATTCTAGTATCAAAATAAAAAACGCTCCGTTAATTTCCGAATGTCAGAGAATGGTTTCATGGCAATCAATTCAACTTAAATGAAGTCTGAGGTTGTGTATTTCTCTGAGAAACAAGAAGGGACGAGATATGGCGGAATAGCTTACGCAATTTTGAGATGCTTAATGCATTATGAAGGATAATCTTAGCAATTATAGTACTCGTAACAGAGATAATATACAGGGTGTTCGGAAATTTGGAGGAAAGATTCAATGTGGCAAAATAATGGTTGTAAGTCATGTAACAAAAATGCGAAATCGTAATATTATCCGAGTTATTGCTTGTCAAAATTCATTTTTTAAAATTTTATTTTTAACTCCCAGTGGGCTTAATTCTCAACGGACTAAGTTGGCATTTTACACACAGCCCTGATTTAGTAAAAGTCATTGTTACAAAATAAAAGTCTAGAGTGCACTTTACCTAGAACATTATTTTAAATTTTTCCTGTATTTATTTAGACTGATATTGCAAAATAGAATACATTGCTTTAATTAATAATTGAATCACAAATCCTCAAAAATTGTTACTCTTGTTTTAAGTCGATAAGTGTTATTGTTTAGCCACAAATAGACTCTCTATATTCTCTTATATACATACACATTATTTTAACTAAATTATTATAGCTAAATCACCCTGTAAATTTTGTTTTTGTCAAGAGTAACTCTGATGACCCAGTACAAGATATTTTCGAAAATAAAAAAAAGGAGACATGTTTGCGGACAAACGTTTATTAACCAAACTTAAGCTATTTTCTATTATCACTCTAAAAATAAACGGAAACATCCTCATGGATGGATCCAAAAATCTTATATATATACTTTAAAAACAACTGAAATACTGGTGTCGAATTGAAACAGCACTTGAGAGATGAAACTATAAGAACTTTTTATAATGCAATTGTGCACTCCTCAATTAGTTAGGCAATACTTTTTTTATTAGGTAGTAAATCATTTACAAATCATATACTCAGCACAAAATCGCAGTATCTGATGCATTTACAACTTGCTTCTACAGGTGTCATGCTTACCCTATCTTAAAGAGTTTGATGTACTCACAGTATCTTGTTTATGTATCTATCTACCATCTATATGAAAATATGCACATTCATAGTAGAAATAGAGAAAATTTGCGGATACAAGACTATAAAAGCGTATGACGTACTGCCTGCTAATATTCAAAATATAAAAATGGCCATGATAAATTTAAAAAGAAAAAATGTTATTATGGGTTCTATGTCGATTTTTAAAGCTTTAAATTTGTAATTTGTTATATCTTGATTGAGACTGAAGGTTTGGACATTGTCTGTGTAATTGACTATCATCTCTTTGAAAAATAAATAAATAAATAAATCAAAATTCAAAACGTACTCAGAATGTTTCCATTTAAATATCTAGAGATTATAAAAATCTTCCGAAATTATATCTCCACGATATGGTTTTATTTCGGAGAATAATTATCTTTGATCATATTTACCGTATAACTGGAGCACCGTGCGCCGGTCCGGCTCTAAACGGGGTCCTCCTAGCGTCCCTCGGATGAAAATATGGCTCGTTCTGCGGAACCAACACGTTGAACCTCTCGTCTTTGTCGTTGTAAGAAGGTCTCGGCTCGTAATATTTCGTCCTGTCGTCCCTGTCCTCGGACTTATCGTCCGAGTTTCCGTTGATGTCGTCGTTCGCTTCGACGTCGTGAAACGGAGGCGTTTTATTTTGGTCGTCGTCGACGTCATCCTCAAACTCATCGTCGCTAATCGGCTGCAACGAAACGTTCAATGCGGAGTCCTCGTGGTCTTTCTTTTTGGCCTCGCGCAGTTTGTTCTTCTCGATTTGCATGAAGATCTTGTTGAGAATGTGCTTCTCCTGCTCCTTGGTCATGGAGCCGGACTTGATGCACTTCTCATCCTCTGGGGAGATGATGATGGCCTTGGCCGTATCGAGGGGGGCCGGTTTCACCCTCAAGTCCTGATCCTTAAAGTGGGACGCTTCTAGTTTTTTCTTGTGAACTGTTGAAAGAAAACGCCCAAAATTTCAGTTTTGGTTAGTATTTTTACGTGCTATGAAAACAGTCGCACTATTTAAAAAAAAAAAAAAAAATGATAATTTAGTTATAAAGTGTATGTAATGCTGATTAAAACTAAATACAACTATAGTTTAAAGTCTTAACTAATTGCTTATTGCTTTTTTTTAAGTGGAATTTTCATGAACAATCTTGAGAAAAATTATGGGTAGCCAAATTCTCTACATATGCATGTTTATTGACAATGTGATATACTTTTACTCCAACTCTCCCTATTCTCATAAATATGCCTTGTTTAATTTTCTTTTATAGACTTTTTAACATTCCACTGCATTAAATAATGGTTATCCACTTTATTCTATCAATAAAGTTGTTTTACGAATTGCCATATCATATAACAAAATCAAAACTTCCAGAATTTACAATGCTTGAATTTCTTCAGAAATACTACATTATAAACACCTGGCTAAATTGTTCAGGAGTAGGAATTTATCTATAGCGTTTAAAACAAATAATACATTGAAGCAGCTTCCAATCAAAATTAAGAATCCAATGAATTTTCCAGATCAGGGGTGTTATTTAAACTGTGATGATTATAATGCAGTGTGGACAGTCTGGCAGAAAGATCTGCGAATGGATTCACAAATATCAGAGTTTGTTGAAAAAGTACAAGGACACTGATTTGAATATCTAGTATTGTTTCAAAGTTATAGAGTATTTTTCAAAAATGCGCATCTTTTCAACAACTCCAAATTTTGACAAAATGCGTTCAACCAAGTTATTGAAATTTACTTCCTAAAATGTTCTAACATCCCCCACTACTTTTCCTTAAGAGATAGCGGAAAAACCATTTAACGAAGAAGAATCGAATTTATGAGAGCTTTACAACCTTCACCATTTGAATCTGTAATAAGAAATTATTTCTGAAAAAATGGGATTTTAAATTCAAGAAAGCGATTGCGCCCCCTGGCGGTCGTTCCAGAAACTTAAAAATATCCCGCATAAAAACACATTGCATAAAAAAATGAGAATATTAAAGATAATTTCTAGAGAAAAAGAAAACTATATTTAAAATGTCTTCCATATTTGAATGGTACTATTAGTTTTGAATTTTAGCTATATATTAGGATTGACTGAATTTGATAAATGAATTAACTTATGTAAATAATATTGTCTGATAAAACTAACAAATATTGAAATATTTTTAAAAAATTAGAATATCTGGATTTTATAATATTTAGGTGCAAATTTAAAAGATTTGGCCAAGTTACTTACATGATTTCGCCATGACTTTTTCCCTGTTGGTCGCGCTCGCCAGTTTCGCCCTAATGGCATCCAACTCGCTCTTCTTCGGAGACTGTATCTTTTCCGTAAGGATTTCGGCTGAAGATATGATCGGCGGAGGCGGAGTCGGCGGCCTCTCAGACTCGACCAACGGAGCAGTAGCCTCTGTACCAACCACGGATAACTGGCGCAGGTCCGTATCTTCGTTTCCAAACAGTCTAAAATATTTCCAAATTAAACAGACTTCATTTGTGAAGGTCCGTCGGTTACTCACACGTCGAAACTCTTCGATTTCTTCGACGCCTGGTCGGGAGCATCCGCAGACGGCCGCTTCTTACCGATTACGGTAGGCAATTGTCTCAAATCGACGTCCATGGCTTGAGCTACAGGTTCAGGGGTAGGTTCCGATGCTATAATCAAACATTCGTTTAACCGACAACGAAATGACACGTGATTTACACCTTTGGAAAATGCTATGCAGAAAGTTTAGAAAATTAAAATGAAACCTTCGACACAATACAACAATTTAAATACAAATACATAAGATTCCTGTAAAAAAAAACACTATAAAAAGGAAGATAAAAAATGTTTAGAAATTGGAAAGCTTAGATAAAATATTGGGAAAATGAGACAAAATAAGCCAAATAAGATAAAAGATACTAGTACTCCTTCAGCCGCATTTGATTTTGTAAATGTAAATGTAAATTTTGTAAAAATCCAGAATATTTATAAATAGTATTGTATACAATGGGTTCCAGAGGTAGCTTCTTAATATTAATTGACAATAAATTAGACGATATGATTAGTAGAAAAAGTTGGAATAGTAAAAGGGTGCCGGAGGAGTTCTTGGCTCATTACTGTATTGTTCCCAATTTAAGATGTGCCAATCTACTGGTATACATTTAATTTGATTTAATTGATTTTTGGCGCATTGTATTCATTTGATACCTATTTGGGGAACATGTAATAAAATTTCCTTTGAGAAAATGTAAGTATTACAAAATACTTATTAACCAATGCCAACCAAAACCAATCATATAAAAATTTAATATTTCTAAATTGAACATATATTATAGTTAGAACAAGGTAAGTCAATACAAAAAATAGTGAATAATGGTCAGAAAATAAAAATTGATATTAATAAATAAAGTTAATCATGTATGATATGTGAATAAGATGTCAAAAATCATGTTACAAATTAAAGAACTCGGTTATTTTGATACTCTCCATACCTGCTAATTTTGATATTGTATACGACTATTTTCTTACAAATGCCAATAAGAATTGAAAGAAGAAAGACGTTAATTAACAGAGCTAATATTTCAAAGTGTGGCTCACCAGGTGAACATCAGTTTTCCTGCCATATCGATACCATAGCTGTGAAGTTTTTTAAAAATTGTTTTTTATATACCTCTGCCCCAAATTACAACTCAGTACTTCATTCCTATAAAGATTGTAGTATTCATATATTTAAAAATCAACTGAAGAGTTTTATTTCTGGAGGATTTTTGATAAGTGATATGTTATTTTCAGGTTGATTAAAAGTTTTTAAAGTTATGTTTAATTAAATTACAATTCTCAGATTATAAAAATTATTGTATTTTTATTTTTAATTTACTTTAAATACATATGTACCCCAATAAAAACATAACTACTAAACAAGAAATAGAAATAATTTGGATTTGGAATGTGTAATTGTAGTCTAGTCAGAGTTAACACTGTTTATAAATTTCTTCTAAATTTAGACAATAGCAAATGAAAAAAAAAATACAACTGCAATGGTAGAGGCCACCCACCTTTCTCACTGACGCCTACTTCAATACGAGGCTGTTTATCTGGAGGCGGCAGAGATCGCAAGTCTTCGTCCTGCGGTAGGTCCGGACTGGACGTTAGATTATGCCGAATATAGTTGCGGTTCTTCCTCGAATTTCTACCACTTTTAAAGGCAGAAGTATCACTCGCATCGACTTTTTCCAGTCTACTTGAATCGTTCGAACCTGGTGACTCACTTTTCTCCCTTTTCCTATTATTCTTGGGAGATTTTATTTTAATTGTCTTTGTTAAAGAATCTAAACTACTAGAACTACCGCCACTGCTCAAAATTGATTTATCTGAATCGGTACCTGTTACGGGCCGTGAAGTTTTTGGTGGGGGGTCAGTTTGGGATTTGGGGAGTGTTTTGGGTCTGGCAGTTTTATCAATTTTATTCGTTATGCGGGGATCTTTACGAAGGTCTTTTACACCCATTTTATTATTTACATTTTTATTGTTTTCAAGAACGGCAGACTTCTGCCTTACATTAGAAAGAGCCGTGCCCGGTTGACTAACTACTGCCTTCGGGGGCAAATTTGTGCCCTGCTGCTGTCTAAGAAGCCTCGGATCGCGAATGGGCTTGGCCATTGCCAAAGCTCCACTCGTAGGCTTTACTTTGGCTTGATTTGCCAGATTGTTTTGGAACCTCTGACCTATTACTGAGGAAACCTGCAATATATATTTGTTTTAAGTAAAATTCAAATCACCATGATATAATCTTACAACTCCAATGGGTTTTGATTTAGCCTTGCCCATAGCTTCCGGAATGAGCTGTTTGGCAACTTCTGGTTTTAACAAGATATTCTGAAATAAGATAAAGTAAATAAAGTAGTTCAAATCACCCAACAGGAAAAAGTTGAGTCAATATGCAGTTTGAAATGCAAATTTTCTAGAATCAAAGAGCATACAATTGTTTGGAAAATGAGACCTGGGTATTTAACAATTAAAGTAAAGCAATTTGTTAGCCTCAAATTTATACATTCTGAAAAGAAATAGCAAGAAAAGATGTAACTCACGGGAGGTGCTCCTGACTTTAATTGTTCTTGTAGCTTAACTTGTGTTTGCAGCACTTCAAGCTCCAATGTTTTCCTCTGTAGCTCAAGTAATTCCTTTTGTTTCTGAATCAACTGCTCCTGCATCAAGAGGGTCTCTTTATCTATATCAGTTGAAGTTCCTTTGGGAGGTGCCTCCTTGGCAGTAGATGTAGTCTTAAAATTAAGAGGAACTTAGTATTTTGATACACATTTGATAAACAATATCTTACTGTGCTTTTTAGAAATTTGGGGTTAAGGTGTATACTGTTTGACGGTTGTGCTGTCACAGGCCAAGCAGGGTCTATCATACTGATCTGAACATCAATGGCATATAACTTCATCTGATGGAACACATCATTCCAAGTTTGCCTAAGCTTAAACATTTCAGCTCGCGTTTTCTCATCAACCTGCAAAGTCAATATTTTAGAAGAATAAACAAATGTGACTTCAATAGGTGCAAATTTTGGTAACAAATCGTTTCCCAAGATAACTTTAAAAAGTTACTCACCTCTTTAAAAACATTGCAAAATGTAGAAACAATATTGTGACCAAAGAGTGATGTGTAAGTTTGGCCCACATTTTTGACGATACAATCAATTAAGTATAGAATTGGTAATTTGACATCAGTAGGTGCCTGAAAATATCATTCCAGATGAGATGCTGCTGCTGTTAAATATTATTATCTTTTAAGACAGTAGCTGACGAAATTGAAACTGATACTGACCCAAAGAAGACATTTTATTATATTTACTGACCTAGAGGTTTTGAAAATATATAAAGAGTGATGGATTGAATTTTAAAATGGTTCTACTTATAGAAACTTTTTAGTTATTCCTGTCTCTAGTCTATTGAAAGATCTGAGAGCTGTAATAAAACAATAAAAACACTTCGATTTTTTCAACTTACCTACTTAAAAAACACAAATCCAATCAGGGATATTGCACAAATGTTATATAAAATACCACATTTTCACTTTTCATAGTAAAAGACATAAAAATTAGTAATTTGATGTCTCATTTGTCAGGAATAATGAAACAAAACAAACAAAATGAAACACCAAATCAAATGAAAAAAAAAAAAAAATTGAAATGAAAATGAAATTTTAAGATTATAAAAAGTAATAAAGATTATAGTTCCTTTTTTTATAAAATAAGCACTTTGTACGCCATTGCTTGAATTGTTACATTACTTTTTGCATTTGCTTGGTAGTCCTTTAAGAAAATAGAGTTACGTCCAATTTATAGACATAAATTATTTATATAAAACTTTTCTTCAAGGAGACATATTGTAAATTACAACATTGCTGGGTACAGCTTCAGCCACAATGTCTTGTAAATAGAGTGTTTCCCAATCAATAGGCAAATAATATACTGTTACAGTTATATCTACAAAGGGAATCTTTTAAACAAATTTCTAATAGTAAAATTAATAAATGATTTAAGTTGGGTAAATTGATTCCCTTTCTTAAAAGGATTGTAAAAAGAGTTGCGCCAACCTCATATAACAAAGGGATAAAACATTTTATTTATTCATTATTTATATTGATTTGAGATAACTAAGGATATTTTGTTTACATAAAGAAATTGTATCACTGTCGGCTTACTAAATAAGTACTAACTTTTGCAAGATGTGTTTCGATAGCTTCCACTATAACTCTGGCGTTTGGAAGATTCTCTTCTGCCAGCATTGTCAGAACATTGATAAGAGGCTTGCTATTGAACGTTAAATCCGCCAAACTGGACGTATATTCTGCCTTAATTTCTTCGGGAGTCGTCATCTTGCACTAATATCACAGTCAAAACGGTGTTTTGGGTCACCAATTACGGCTAAAACAGAAAAATCCCGTGTTATCACTACAAAACACTTCACAATTCCTTCACTTTTGACATATGGTTCATACGTTCTATTTAATGCTATCGTAGCAAAAAAAGCGATCGTACCTTCCGCCAACAAACTAAACGGGCCTTTGTGGTCGCCCGAATCCACATTACGATTTTTTAAAAAATTTAACAAACTTTGATAACGTTATTCGCTGAATTGCGTGCACGCTTACAATTAGTAAAATGGCGATCTAACGACATCGACGTAAACGATGAAAGTTATTTGACATGCGCACGCTCGATAGTCGGCTATAGTCGACAGAGATAGGACGCGGCTAATTTGAAATTATATAGTAATAAAATCGACCATACAACTGATTAAAAAATTAGTCTTTTTAAATAAAATTATTTATCGTAATGATGAATTCATACAAAAAGAAAATAGGCAGAGTCGATATGTTGTCTATGTCCTTGCTTGTATTTATAAATTTAACAAAATATGCTAATACATTTTATTTACTTGTTAAAATAAGCAGCGGTTGTCACGCTACACATAACCTCTTCGGCAATGTATTCACTACTTTTGTGGAGTGATTTGTTAATCATTATTAATAACCTTCAATTTTAACGGTAATATTTTGCATCAGCCTTTTTATTTCGTTTAAAAATTAAAAACTACAAAGTTCTTTTATAATCGTGAATGTTTCAGTTTTCGAAATTAGTTTACGCAAATTAAATAAATGTACACTACATTTTCTTCTAAAACGTTTTGTGAATATAAACGGAAAAGCACCACAGTCGCTATACCCACCGAAAAATCGGTTGGGTGTTTTAATCAAAAAACAAACCATTGCTTTTGTCGAAATTGATCCGTTTGAAGTACAAACAGCTGAAGATAATAACTGATTACATATTTACCCATTCAATAAAGATAAAATTCAAGATACAATGAGTTAAATTAAATCTCAGTTAGATCTTAAATAATATATGTGGCCTTTCTTATACGGCTGTTGTAAAGTTGCGGTGTGACGATGTAAGGACAATGGGGAAAGACAAGGAGTTCGTCCATCCAGATGGAGGTTATGGGTGGATTATTGTAGTATCAATTGTTGTAATAAATGTAAGTGCTGATAGTGTATTTTGGTGATAAATTGTTTATTGTTTCTGGAGCTTTTATAAACACTTAAGTATTAAAAAGTTCTGACCATGATACTCTCTTTTACCAAGGCTAGTGACGTTGCTAAGTTTGAATCTAATTTAAATCAATGAACAATTGAGGATGTTAAATAAATGGTTTATACAACTATGGCAGATCCCCGAAAAAATTGGTTGACTTTATTTGCACAATAATATTTTGCTATAGCACTCCTAATATTACTTACATTATAATTTGTATTAAATATAGGGTATGTTTTTTTAGTCGTCGCTATTAACATTAATACAATGTTTCGGAATTATATTCAGAGACGAATTTAAGGAATGGAACATCACTTCCGCTCAAACATCATTCCTTCTTCATCTTCAGAGTTCTTTATATTGTTCTTTTGGTAAATATAGTCAGTATAGTAGTGAATAGTGGATTAAAATAAACTAATTTCAGGATTTTTCTGTAGCCCCTTACTAAAAAGATATTCAATGAGAATGGTTGCTTATATCGGTGCCACTCTAATGTGCAGCGGTATATTTTTAAGTAGTTTTGCAACTTCATATACATATTTAATGTTATCGGTATCCCTTCTGACTGGTAAGAATTCATGCTGCTCATCATAATAGATATATTTTGTAACTGTATTTTTCTTAGGTATCGGGCAAGGTATTCTAATGCCAGTGACTTATTTAGCCACATATACATATTTCAAGAAAAGACTGACCATAGCTGTAAGTTTATCCGTAACTGGAGCTAGTATTTCCTCTATAGTAATGCCAAAGATTTGCGACTCTTTGTTGACTTACGGTGGGCGGAGAACGACAGTCTTGATTTTATTTGGAGTTTCCTTACTTTCATTGTTGGCATGTTATTTGTTAAAGCCAATCAAAAGTAAAAAAGCGACAGAAGAAGGAATCCCACTGGAGATTGAGGGTCAAAATGGAGTCTCCAAAAAAAGCGTATGTGTTATAGAGACCCTTTTGCAGGCAAATTGCTTTCATTTGTATTTCCAGCAAGAAGGTTCTGAAGAATTGCTAAAAACTCCAAGCAATGAAGTGTACAATACTACTACAATACCTGCCAGAAAGCAAAGAATCTGGACCAAAATCTCTAACTTGTTTGATCTACAATTGCTGAAAGATATACCATTTGTATTGATTATAATTGGCCTTGGTAGTTCATTTGCAGCTGAATTAAATGTGATATTGATGCTTCAGTTCATTTTGAGGGAGCTATCGGGCTTGACTAGATCGGAGGTCGCGACTGCAGTGTCAGTACAGTCAGTTGCTGACATTATTGGTCGACTGGTGGTTCCATTGTTATCCCACACTTGTAATGCGCCATCGAAGGTGATGTATTGCGGCGCTTTGTTAATTGCCTGTTTTGGAAGATTAGGTAAACAAGTGATAATACCTCAGTGTTCTGTTTGGGAAGGTCATTTTTTGTTTCAGTCCTTTCTTGCTTTAGTTATTCCAAAACAGCAGTGTACATTTCAATCGCTATTATTGGCCTGACTAAAGGATGCAGGGCAGTGTTTCAATCCGTTATAATTCCAAAATATGTTACTTTGGACAAAATTCCAGCAGCCACTGGTTTGCATATGCTGTTCACTGGGGCCGTCTCACTTATAATTGGACCTATAATAGGTAACACTTTATATTCACTTGTTGCTAATACTAAATTTACACTGACAATTTCTTCATGAATGAAATCTCGTCAAACAATTTCATGAACAACAATTCAGTTATGTTATTTATTTTGTCATATTATATCACCCTACAAATTTTTGGTCGGAATAAGGAAGTATTATTAGTATTAGTAGACTTCGACAAGTTTTTATTGCATCTGGGATTTCACATGAGATTTAATAAAAAACTTTTCCGACAATTTTTTTTTCTTTTGATGTTAGTAAAAAATTTAAAATTTATTATATTTTTACATTTTTGTAGAATAGACTTTGCCTTCAACATAGCACTAAATAAAGAATATTGTCAATAAAGACAAACTACACAGTTCAGCATAATCTCTAAATACTATGAGTTGGTTGAAGGGTCAAATGACATTTTGAGACGTCAAATAAAATAATGTATAACCTCTTGAAGAAATTCATCAATTATAATTGTCAGTGTAAAACTGGCACACGTAATTAGATTAAAATGACATTTTATAGGAGCTGTACACGATCAAACAAATTCGTACGTGAACACACTTCACGCGGCGAGTTTTATATCGGTCTGTTGCGTGGGACTATGGATTTTCGAGAGTTTGTATTGGAAAAGCACCAATATTGAAGAACAAAATAAATGATACATATCATGGTCAGATTCTTACTTTACTACCAATATGTTTAGTTGCGCAGTGCAGTCGTCTTTTCTTTATTTTTTCTTATAGTGGTTGTAACTAAACTCCATTATTTGTACAACGTTGGTTAGCATATAACTATGAGATCATATAGTGGAATAACTACCGTAAAAATAGAGGCGGCTTGATATTTTCCTAGATAAGAGAATAATTTTCCGCTCATGCCTCTATATTTCACCCACTAACCTGCACTTTGCCCCATTTTTCTTCTAAACAGCGATTTCTACACACTTAACTCGTTTTTCCAGAGCACTTAACGAGATCTAGGCATATTTTCAGAAAATACTGCCGTAAAAATGGTGCATCCATACTTTTTGACGATTTGTCAGCGGCCATGTTGGTCGTTGAATGTCGCAAAGTTATTGGTTGAAAGGGTGATTTTTAATTTCGCGCATGCGCATGTTGAATGGATTTTCTCAAAAAAAGGTTTCATAGCTGTTTTCTGCTTTATTAGTTCCTGTTTTACGGGCATAGGACTCTATATCTCTAGTAGCTATATGGTTGTTAAAAAAACTGTATAACAAGTTAAAAACCCTATAACTAGGCCGAAAAGTCAATCGAAATTTGACAACACAGCATGGTAATTTTGAACTGGCGACACAAATACAAGTTTCAAAGGTGACGATTAGATTCTGTGAGTAGCATGGATGTGGCCGGTCTTTTCCTCGTGGACTTCTAACAACCACAGCCAAGCTGTTTTTTTTTTATTGTTTTGTTTATAGTATATGGGTTGGTCAGTGACCAACAGCGTAGTCTCAAGACTATGTGTTTAATCTTTGACTAAAATAAGAAGAATCTTTTCGTTGTTTTCGTTAAATGAAGTAACAATAATGGTACAGTTTTTTTTAAAATACTCTTTGGCCGAATGATCGTAGCAGTCTTGGCCAACAGAAGTAAAAGAAGAATAAGAAAAATTCTCTTTTATTAGTAAGACTTTTGGCTTAGAATGCAAAAAGTTTAAAACCGCTTGCAGGTGAAATTAAAAAAAAAATCCATATCCATTCTCGCAAACATGGCGAACTGGGACTGAATTAATTGATTTTTTTTAATCCGTCCATTTGCCCATGCATGGTGACTCTTAATTTGTGCCTTCCAAAGTATCGCTGTCATAAATAGTAAACTTTTTAATTGATGTAAAATATCACAATACACACTTTGCTAAGCCAATAATTTAATGGATAAATAAAATCAAATTTGCCAATTTTAGAAAAGTTTTATTCATATGGCAAATACAACTGCAATATTTTTCTAACAGCTATTTTACAAATAAAAATTTGTAAAAATATCGTAAGTAATAACAATACACTTCGACGTAATAATAAATACAACAAATTTACACTAATTGAATGCTACCTATAATAGAAAAAGGATACAAATATAGTAAAATACACGAGAATTATCACAAATAAAATTTATATAAAATGTAATTTGTTCACAGAGGAGCAATGGCGCGGAAGCTTGTACAAAAATTTAGACTTTTTGATGAGATCAAAAATTGACAAGCAGTCTTGGACTCGTATTCTAATGGGAGTAGAAAGACGCAATGTGGCAGAAGGTAAAAAACTTGTTCCCCAGGAATATTGTAAGATGATATGCACATACAAAAGTTTTATTATACATTTGACACGAGACGCGTATACTTGTTTCAAAACTAGCATTGTACTGTTTTATAAACGTGACTAACCCAAATTTTATTTCGCAATTATACTGCCTAGTTGGGATAGTCAAGTCCCTATATTGCTCTTGAATTGTTTTGTCAATAATTTATAAAATAATTATAAGATATCTTATTCTAGAGGAAATAAGGTAATCTTCAAATCATTTAAAACAATACAAAAATATCCTCAGGATATCAAAAAGTAACAAGCGCATTTGCAACTATATATGCGGCATTCAGGCTTGGCTATATGAGAGTAAGTAGTCGCGCGGGTCAAGTAGAAAAAAGTAAATATTTTAAGTACACATACTAACGGAGTATATTCCATGCCGGGTGAAGCATATACAGCCGACTGTCCTGAGATCAAGGATTGATGCTGATGTTTGGTGCAAAACCCATTCGCTTTTCGGGAAAAAAAAAATTAAAAACTGTAGGTATTTGATTTTTTCATGCTTCAACGAATGTCCAAGTTTTGGATACTTGCCCTCATTGAAAAGTCCTTCTCGACTGTGACGATGAACAAAACTTTGGTCAGTTGCCATAATTTTGTAACCAATTCTCGTTCTCGTTTCGTCTCACCACAGTATTTAACGTAATCACGAATTTTGTCGTCGTCTATTATTTAACTTATCTCGTTCTTCCTTTTTTTTACAATGCAGCGTCCCGCACTGTATTCTTCCATGTTGGATTGTTTTTCTTCTTATAGGCCGCAGAATATTAGTGAAATTATGAATATCTCACCAATCCGAGGTCATACCAAAACAAACGGATTTTGTAAAATCGTTGTTTTTTTTTTAGATTCTTTTGCACCAAACACCTGAACGTAAAAACGAAGCTTATTTTAGAAGTGAGTCTCGGGCGGTTCGTCGATGTATTTACAAGTGAAGGGATTTAGAAACCACGAACAAAATGACTTTTCGTGTTTGTGTTTGCACTTGCTTCTGCGATGTATATGGGACGTCCTGCTCAGTTCGGAGTCTATACTAGAGCTCTCGCTATCCCGGACCACGCTATCGTAGCCGCTTTCCGCGCGCCTCGATATCGCTGCGGGACTGTGTTTAGACGTTCTCGGGGTCGACTCGTGGCCACTGTCGTAACCCTCGTTTTTTTGGGTGCCCGTTTCTAAGCTAAGGATGACCCTGTGTATTCGTTCTATGGAAGGAAGACTGTTAGGGGGCGCTACAGGCTGAGAAGTGATTAAATTCGTTGATTCGCATACTACCTTTTCGAGAGACGCGGCCCCGTTGCCCGGTACTCGAGTGCTCTCTTGTAAATTCGGATTCGATGCGCCGTCCGGGTGCCTCAAAAATGCCAGATTAGCGTCTTTTTTGTGGCAGTGCCTTTGGAAGCGACCCCTGAAGCTCGTCAAGTCTTGCGAACTGGCCGACAGGTATGGGTTTTCGTACCAGTTCTGAGCGGTCGACGGTCGGCTCATGCTCACTTTGCAATTCTCGCAGAATTTCTCGCGTACGTAAGCCGGCTCGCTGTATATGCTGCTGTTATCGTGGCCATCACCTCTGCCGCCGTAAAGCATGTCATTTAGCGTTAACGATTCGCATCTGGTCAACATCCGCTGGTTGTGCTTCTGCTGTTGATACGTCTCGGAGTTCGCCACATTCGCTTTCGCTAGCCTGTGGGTGTAGAGTTCGTGCAGGCGAGCCAACTGATCGAATTTACGCCTGGTGGTGTCGTCGAGGTTGCCGTTTTGTGGGACGGGATTGTCCGGGTCTTCGTAGTCGTCATACCCGTACCTGTCGTACCTATGCCTCGGCAGTATCCTCTCCAAGTCCGTATAGACCGACATCGAGTCGGTAAACGTCGACACCACCGTTAAATTCTCCTGGCTCAGTATCCTCAGGGGATGGTCCAAGGGGTTCTCCTGATCCACCTCGGGGAGGGGGTTCTCGGCGTATCCCATACAAAGCGCAATATCCTCTTCGGTCACCTGCAGGCAGGAGTCTTGGGTAGGCACGGGTTCCAGGGGCACTTCTACTTCGATTATCTCTAAGAGGTCCTCGTCGTCCTGGTAATTGTTGCCTTGGTAGCTGTTGTATTCAGCGTTGGACATCATCCTCTCTTTGAGAAGCATATCCAAACTCTCCAATGAAACTTCCCTGCTGCTTAACGGCTGAATCAACGGCAACGCCGGAGGAATCTCCGGCTCGTCCTCCTCTTCCTCCGCTTCTTCTGGCGTTGAACACTCCGCCACGCTGTCACTGTTTTTGCTAGCCAATTTTAACCCAGTTCTAATCACGGATTCCTCGACGACTTCCGACTTTTTCGAGTTCAGCGGCCTCACGACCTCTTCATCGTCCTCGTAACTCTTGAACTGAGTCAGCTCCTTGGGCGCCTCTTTGACGTGCTTGTGCACGTGCTTGGTCTTCTGGATCTGCGACGTTTGGTGCTCGACCCATTTGCGGATCATGTTCTTTTTGTGACTATCCATGTAGCCGTACGCTACCGCTTGGCCCTCAGCTTGCATCGGACCGTCCACCCAGGTTTCTCGTTTTTTAATGTGGCAGGGTTCCTTCATCAGGTGTCTGGCTTCTGCCACTTTCGATTTCGATATTCTCGGACCATCGATCCATTGCTCGTCGCTTCCTCCGCTTGCAGGGGGATGTTTGAGGGCATCGGGTTTCGGTTTCGCGGACGGAATTTTGCCGGGAGACGATTTGGGAGAGGCCGCGTGGGCCGGGGAAGTTTTACTACTTTGGCACGGTTTTGCGCTGGAAGATGACCTGTACGATTGCGATTTGTCGTCGCCCTTCAGTGCGGGTCTCGGGGGCCGTTGCTCAGCCGATGAACCTTAAATAAAAAGAATGCGTAGGTTCATGGTTAATTCACCATATGAGTGATAAAGTGGCATGGGTCACGGGCAGCTCTCCAACATGTGGGACCCATTATTAGACTATTTAAGTAAGTTCGTGATTGACTATCATTAGTATTTTGTTTATTTACTACGTTATAACTACAAAGCGGTACCGAAAAGAGCAGAAGAAGATCTTTTGTCTTGGTGATTAATGAATAATACCAAAAATGAGGCAAGGCAAAAATATAGGTGGTTGCATATGCCAATAATTGGTGGACATAGCAAGAAACATGATAAGTTATACAGGGCTTAGGACTGTCTATGGATAGCACAATCCCAAGTAGGTATTGCGTCGTTAAACATTACAAGATTCCAATACAGCCTAGAGAAAATTCGAAAAAATGACCCAACAATAAGGACAGATATAATCTGGTATACAGACGGCTCAAATATGAACCCAGAACGAAAGCAAAAATTTCTTTTTCCATAACTTAGCAGCAGTGTTTTAAGCTGAGATTACCGCAATAGACGATTGTGCGAGAGAAACACAAACGAAAAAGATTCGTAATAAGACAGTTAAACGGCAATAAAAGCTATGCAATCCAGTAAAATAGCATCCAAATTAATTCTGGATTGTCATAAGGTATTAAACTAGATAGCAAGTCGGAATAAAGTTACGCTGTCATGGGTACCACGGCACGAAGGCCTCCAAGGTAACAAAAGCGCCGACGAAGTAGCACGTGAAGGCTCGTCAAGCCTATGGGAGCGGACGAAAACACTGATGATGTCAGTGTGAAGGCCTATAGAGAGTGTGTTTCCATCTGATGGACGTAACCAAACGCAATGAACTACACCAACGAGCCACTATCGAATTTATGGAGTTTGATCAGAGGAACATGGACAAGACTCTATAGCTATGAAGAGAGTTACAGTGACGGATAGACAGATTGCTGGCTCGCACAATCTGAATCTGAATCTGAAGAAAACAAAAGTATAATCAGCGCTCGCCACGTTTTCATGGAAGACCTGTCAATGGGTATTAAGTGACCTTCATTAAAAGGGAAGAGACTAATAGTCGTTTATATTGGAAACAAAGAGGTATTTTTAAAAGGTTTACTAACCATTTAGTGGTGCCATATGCCATACTTTGATGAAATAATAAAATATCTTCTGCCTGATTCAGTAGTAGTTATGGATAACGCAAGCTATCATTCACGACTTATAGAGAAGACGTCAACTTCATCTTGCAGAAAACAAATCGTCAAGTGATTAACAACTAGCAATTTGAATTTCCTAATAAATTGATAAAGCAAGATGTACCAAAACATGGTTTTATGAAATTCACTGTGTAACATAGCTGCGTTATGAACTGTAACTATAACTAAATCCTTTAGAACTCATGGGCGCAATTGAAATGATTTTTAGCAAGACACTGCACGATATTCAAAATGAAAATCCTTAAGGTACTGTTTGATTAAGCCAATGAGGAAGTGACACTAGAGAACTGGCGAAAAGCAGAACAGTATGTGATGTCACGAAGAGGATAAGACTGTCCAAATATAATTTCCGTATAAAGTTTTACCAAAAAGGGTACCCAATATTTATTTACATAATACTTCATTTTTATTCTGCAAAAATCAAAATTGATGCCAAACAATGAAAGTGATCCGAGTGTTCTTTTGGGTCACTCTGTAGCCCCTTTGCATGCCTAATGGCGGTTTATCCCTCTACACTGTTCTATAATAGACTATAGCGAAGACATATTTTTATCTGTCTTTTCTGTAGGGTTGCTTGATATAGATAATGTATGTGCTCAAACAATATTGGAACCATTAACATTTGTAAAAACCTTTAACGTGTGGTTTCATTTCTAATTCTAATCTTTTATAAAGCAATAATTGAATAGTACAGTATTGATGATCATGAACTTTGTTAAATAGTCTATAATAATTAAAAATCTTATAATAATTGAAACAACCATACAAACTGAATGGCAAATAGGTTTGATTGGGTGTTAAACTGCGACAAGCCTATGTCACACTAACAGAGCCTATAGACCATAGCGAAAGTAAAAAAAGCTGAGGGTGCAAGCCTCTATTGGTATTGGGCACATACCTAGTTTGAGTTTCTACGCAAGCCAAATTAATTTCAGTTTTATATCTATGAATGGACCAACCCCAAGGAGCCGGTAAATTTTACCTTCAGTCTATTGTTGCTAAGTTGTATCTTCTCTGTCTCTTGTCTATCAACTCAACAACAGAATAACAAATACTATACTTATATATATTATACAGTATAACCATTTTGTTGTAGATAGCTATATAATTTATTTGTTCGTTTCGTTTAAGATACGATATTGTTATGGCAAATTTCTTCCTTACATTGAAAACAATACGGACCAGATATCAAAAGTTCCTAAGAAATATAATGTTAATGTTAGAAGGTTTTTGTTTCAACTAAAATGATTTGGCTTTTCACTATATTATCAGCTATATATTCAGGTGCCACACCACTGAGAAAACCCAACAATATATTTTTTTAAGTATAATTTTGGTTAAAGCAAGGCTTAACAATCCATTCATTTTTTTGCTTATTTTAGAAATGTTAGTAATTTGCACATAGCTATCAGATAACTGGCCCGACTACGGTAAAAATCGTAATCATTTTCTGCGCATGCCTCTACATTTTCCTCCATTTTATTTTTAAACAGCGATTTCCACACACTTAACGTCTTCTGAAAACATTTAACAAGATCTTAGGCATAGTTTGAGAAAATACTGTCGTAAAAATGCCGCATTCAAACTTAATGACGGCCATGTTGGTTGTTGAATACCGCAACGCCATTGTTTAAAAACGAGAGTTTGATTCTCGCGCATGCGCATATTGAATGGACCTTCTTACAAAAAAATATTGTTGCTTCATAACTTTCTGTATTATCTGCATAAGCAGGGTCGATTGCAATGTAATTTTTTAAAAACCAATCTAATAATTTCGTTTTAATTTAAGAGTTTTGTGTTCCCAATAAATTCTACAATCGCTTCCATCAAATGTCAGATACTAGTTATTTTTACTACAGGATCTGCCAAACTAATGTATTATTTTCTGTATGATATACGAGGGTCACTTGAAAAGTTTTCGACCTCATGAACATTCGGAATGTCCAAAAACTGTAACTACCGACGATAATATAAGTTCATCAATTGGTGTTAAACAACCGTCTAATTAAACAGAGAGGTAGCAGAAGTTATTAAACTCCCGAAGAACGTGTTTGTCACATGAGAAAATTGTTCTGCTCTGTTAGCGCAGTTTAGGCACCATTAATCCCATCAATTACTGTAGATAAAACTTGAGTACACCATTATACATTCGAATCAAAAATACAATCAAAACAGTGGACTGTGAAGTGGGAACCGACTCAAAAATAAAAACTGTTTTTTTGGCTGGGAAAGTGATGGCGACTTCTTAATCGCTTACCTTCAAAAAGGAAAAAACCATTACTTGACAAGCTGAGAACAGAAATTGTAGAAAAATGGCCACATTTGCAAAAGAAATCCTGTTTCATCAAGACAAGTCATACCTCAGCGATTGCCATGGCGAATATTCACCAATTTCGGTTTGAACTGCTTGACCACCCGCTTTACTCACCAGATCTAGCCCCAATCGACTTCTTTTTGTTTCCTTATCTCAAAACTGCGCTTGGAGGACAAAGATTTTCGCAATCTTCGTGAAAAATAATTTTGCGGAGAAAAATGCTGGGTACTATTTGGATGGGTTAGAGAGATGGGAACATTGCCGAGAGAAGTGTATAAAGTGAGAAAAATGTAATAAAAATTTGAGAAAAAGTGTCTTGTATCATTGTTGGGTCGAAAACTTTTCAAATAACTGCGAAAATTCTACCCACCTCTCAATGCTTTGCTCATCGAGCACCTGTTGTCCCCGGAGTTCAAACTAGGAATATATACGGGCGGATGTTCGCCGTCGGTGGCGTCATCCGTCCTACCGACGTAGATGACCGTGTCCGCCGATAAATCGCTGCTGGACGGATCTGGTTCGCTGCTGGTGCCCGTGGTTCTGGCGGCTTCCTCTCCGGATGATCCTCCGGATCCGTTTCCGGTGCCCGTCGACACGAATTTAATTTTTCTACGTCTCATTCGGTGTATCCTTGAAGCTAGCTGCACGGTCGTCAACGTTTCCGCATAGTTCTGCGCGAAAGGCGACACGTGGACGATCATGGCCGCGTGACACGTTAGCGAACTGAGGCAGTCTTTCAGCAGGTGTGTCAGTTTGTGTTCTTTGTACGGAAGATGCTTCTGGCCGTTGAAGATGGCGAGCAGGATATTACCGACGCCGGACAGGGGCATGCCGCCGCTCGCTTTGCCACGTTCTGAGTTGCCCAAGTCGATAAGGTGGAGTCGGCTACGACCACCCGCCACTGAAATAAGGATAACCAAAGTTTGATATCGATTTAGTTTGAAGCCCTACCACATGGTGTCGAAAGTAGCAGAATCGAATGAAGTAGGGTCCGGATCAGAAATCAGTGGGCAACTATTCGAGCGAGGAAATTCCACGCACGCACTTCGCGATAAGGTGAACGGGAAGTGATTCGTAACAGTTTATCACAAGTGACGAAGTGGAGTGCCGTGGTAAAAAAATTCTTTTATAAACGGGCAAAACTACGTGAATTCAAAGCAAGAAGCAAAATCTTTCCACACGAATTGTAACAAATATTAAAAAATTGTCCGTAAATAGAACCAACATTATTCAATTTTTTGAAAACATGAAGGAAGCATTAGATGACTTTGATAATAAAAACTTATAAAGTCACTACGAAACTAACATCGCTGATGATCCTAGTGCAAACTTCTGTAGGGTAGAACGAGTACAAAACCATTGTCGATCCTGCGTCAGCATGGTGATAATGCAGCCGGAGATCTCCTGCTCCTATAGTAGTGCATAAAAGCTCAAATTTTTATGAAAACTGGTGTACTGGAGGCACAGCAGTTCCGGATTCGACATAAACCTTTTTGAGCAATGATTTTTTAAATCCCTTTGACCTCACCTAATAGCTCCACAGGTCATAAAAGCAGCCGTAGAAAATAATATTTATATGTGTCCTTTTCCAGCCAACGCTACACATTTGATGCAGCCCCTAGATGTGGCTGTATTTGCACCCTTTTTAAGAGGAAGTGGTGAGAAATATTGGAAAAATGGAGAAAGGAGAGCAGATAATGTGGGAGCTTCCCAGCCTTACTTTCACTTCCGTGGAACAAAGTTTCAGAGACTGTAGAGGCGAAGTTATAAAACAGATGACCCCAGATAATCCCAGACAACAGCAACGAAGAATTGCCTTGTTTGTTCAGCAGCCAGCCAGGGCTACCAGAAATAACATCAAAAGAGATCGCAGGCAAAGCCAAGAAACCTAATATGCGTCCTCCTATTTGAATGTGCTAAATGCCGCATGGAACAATACACCGATAACAGCGATGAGGATAGAATCTCTAACCCTGAAACTGAGATCGAAAAGGTTGGAAAATTAAAAAAGTTTAAATTCAAGTTTTAATTTTTTTTGTTTATGCCAAAAGTTTATTTAGTTTTTAAGTTAAGAAATGTTCTCTTAGTTCCTATACATACCAAAGAATTTTTTGTTACGGTTTTAGACATTGTTTTATTTTAATAGATATGTAAAACGTAGATTAGGATGTTTTCTTGAGTTTTTTGTTTAATTTTAAAACCGTAAGATAATTAAAACGTTATATAATTATAATGCCCAATATAAAGTGTTTTAAAAAAACGTTTTCAGCAAAAAAACCTATTTTCCTTGACCAAGATAAAGAAAAATATTGAAATGAATGGTTTTTAATTCTGCGCCCATTACCGGGGCTTCTGTGATTCTGCGTTGCTTTAAAATGGGTTTTATATCGAAACTAACGTTTGTGTCCAAGTAACCCCGGACGCCGGGTAACTTTGACATTTTTAGATTTTATTTTTTTTCTATTCTTTTTAGAGCAATTTGGAGTGCAGCAATCGATTCACCAGATTTGTTATAATCTAATTTATTTAGGTAAGGTTAATAAATAACGACGTGATATTCAAAAAGTTTCTAAAAACGTGTTAAAGTAACCCCGTTTGACGACATTTAATTTTCTTTAAATTGAATTTTTGAGAAATTTGGGTAGGGGATAGTTTTTGAGATCGAATAAGCCAATATAATAATCTCCGATACGTGATATCCTAAGTATTTTACATATTTGATTATTCTAATATTAATTATTAAATCAGCCGTTAATTGGAAAATATTAGGACTTTGATCATCCAATTTTGCATTTTCTCGCACTGTTTTTATTGATCAATATCCCAATTTTTTATATATTTTGTTGACACTTGGTCTCTATAATTCTCTATAAGGGGGGTCCTGTGGCCTATTAATCCTCAGAATTTCTCAATGCACGCCTATGGTCTTGGTTACTTTGTTTAAAGAACTTCTTACTTGGCTCCATTTTTTATATATTTAACAATTAGTTAGTTTTAGTTCATGAATATTAATTACTATCTAGTACTAAATTATTATTTTGACTTAAAAAGTTTATTCAAGAAGTTTTTTATTTAAATTAGTCTCAACGTAAATCTAAAGTTGCAACTCAAAAACCTGTTCAAATTGACCTCCATTGTAATGGCATAATTGTTAATTGTAATATTATGGGGAGAGCGCGTACATTTCTTAATTCTCTGTGAGCGGCGTTCCGCAGATCTTCCGTTCTATGATGCTAATTTTTGTAAATTTGATTTTGATAAGTCAGGAGACCTGGGTGGGAGTTGCTCTGACTGTCGCCAAAACACTAATTTCTTAAGCCTATCGAATATTCTTTTATTGCTTCGTCATGGTTCTGGATATCTACATAATAATGTAAAAGTTACATAAAAGTAAATCATGCTTTAATATCCATTATACCTGTATGAATACAGTTCAGATGCTTTATCCATATTTCCCGACAAAGCACAAAAGAACACACATTGTCATATTAAATTAAATTAAATTGCCAAAGCAATATTCAGTATTTTCTGTACCATTGATAATATACAAGGCGTTTTTTGGTTTCGGTCACAGCTAATTTTTTAAAATAATAAATAAACAGGGTGTCCCATTTAAAAATACACAACATAATTAAAAAAATAAAAAAAATCTTTTTAATTTTAAGTTTTTTATTCAGGTTTTAGGTTAGAATAAAAATATCGTGAAGCAGTGTTCACTGCATTGTTGAGCCGTTGTTTGATTATCTGCCGATGCAAAAAGATCATATCATATCATTTATTCCTTTTTGAGTTTTGACGGCTCAGTCAGAAAACACCATTGGTCGTCATGAATCAAAATCCTTTGAACCTTATTGTTGATTATTTTCAGTATGAGCATCGAATGAAAATTTAATTTTGTCTTTAAAACACTTCGATACGCATAGTTGTAAATTATTTGTATTCACATTAATTAAGTAGAAACCAGCCCACTAATTTTTTTGTATCTAATGATATTTATCTCTTAATGCATTGCTTGAGATTTTATTCTTTTATTTGGACACGATATGTATTATGAAAAAATTACAGAAAAAAAATGTTTTAAAGTAAATCATAAAATTAAAAAAAAAATTCTTGTCATTGCATAAGCCTTTCCTTAAATTTATTTAAGAACAATGGACCCAATGATGGAGGTAGACTAATTCAATCCCCTCCACTCATTAAAAAACAAACAAAAACATGCACAAATTGTATTTTTTAAATCATAATACTTCAATACTAGTTTACTGGTCTATTTAGTTTCGTTTTTAAGATAAAAAATAAAACTTGATTTTCGTTATTTTGTTTTAAAGAATATATCTATCACCGTATTAAGTTTTCGCATTTGTTTTGTAACACCCTGTATATAAGTCAATTTTGAAGAAACTGTGTTTTGAAAATTAAGATGACTACCCCGCAAATAGTTTTTTAAAAAAAGTTTTTTAAATCAGAATTTCTTAAAGTACTCTCCCTAATATTAAGTTTTCCTTGTATTAAAAAACATAAAACTGTACGCGGTAGTGATACAAGAGTAACAACGAAAACAAATGAAAGTGGAATACAGCATAAGAAATGATGAAAGGTTGTTCAAAAGTAGACATACTAAAAAACACAGGTATAACAACGGAATTAAACGTTTTAATATATACGAGAAAGTAAAGGAAATAAAAGGGAAAAATACACGCAGAACGCATAAACGAGAAGTGAGAGTCAGATTTTATCCAAGCCATGCTGTTATCATGGTGCCTAAAACCTAAGTGAAGAAGAAAAACTCTCCCCAGTTTTAAGGGGATCAAATTTGGTGGCAAATTTCCAGTTGATTTCTGGTTCATAACTTTATTGTAAGCTTACAAAAGGCGAAGCCTATTCTTGCGACCACTCACACTTACTCTGCCTATGTAGAAATTACAAAAAAAACAGGAATTTTAACAAGCGAGGTTATCAACGTAAATATTAAAGTGAAATATGGCTCTCAGTCCATCGATAAATAGGCCAAGGTTATTATTTAGGAAGGCAATTCTATTTTTTTGAGTGAATCCATTTGCTATACACTTATTTGAATTTAATTTAAGATTACTTTGAGAGGCATAGGTTCAATGTCCCCAATGTCACACGAGTGAAGTAACTGAGTATCGTCTGTAAGCGCTCAGACCGGTCATATCCGCTCTGAACACATCTGGTGTGTAATACAGAAAAAGTATTCGACCATCCTCACTACCCTGTTTTTGAGTGCGATCGAAACCATAGTAACCGAAGCAGGCACAAAGAAATTTGTGGTCTAGGGTATCGAACGCCTTGGAGAAGTCCAACAATACTAAAGCCACTGACAGTCCATTGTCTAGGATAACGAACGCCTTGGAGAAGTCCAACACTACTAAAGCCACTGGCAGTTCATTGTCAAGTACCGATATAATTAATTGAACTATAGTGAATATTGGTCAGGGTTCAAGTAGTACTGTGGTTTTTGCGAACCCTGACTGCAAATCGGATATAACATTATTAGATAGAGAGTACTTGAATAACTGAGGCTGAATAACCCTTTCCAGTACCTCAAATCACTGATCAATTTCTTCTTTAATTGTCTGATGCTGATTTGAGATCTTACGAGGCCAAAAGTTTGAGCCCCATTTTGTTTAATAGGTTTTGCTAAAGCTACAATTTAAAAAAGATTATTAGATGCCGGCCGTATTGGGATAATTCGTTCAAACTCCCTGCCAGCTCATTGCCGACAAATGCCGGTGGAACAGCAGACGGTTGGTGCCTGAGGCCGCTGCAGTAGAGAGCGCTAAAGATTAGAAGCGGAGCGTAGAAAAAATCATCGAGATAACGCGCAAAGTTTTTAAACGGAACGAAAGGACGTATGCGATACTCTTGTGGAAAATGGGACGATAAGAAAACTCAATTATCATAAATTCGAGCCGTAGCAGCCGGCGCTAAAGCAGTGATCAAAGAACTTTCCTTACGCCGGCCCGGGGAATGAATAATGTATTATGCATAAGTTTCTTTCAGACGCACAAAAGAATAGCTGGGCCGAATATATATATATATATATATATATATATATATATATATATATATATATATATATATATATATATATATATATATATATATTATAAGTGAGATTTTGGCGAAACGTCTGCAGGTTTCCAGTCGGAGTTCAACAAGCGAACGGATGATATCCCGGAATATATATATATATATATATATATATATATATATATATATATATATATATATATATATATATATATATATATATATATATATATATATATATATATATATATATATATATATATATATATGCATCCGACTGGAATCCTGCATCCGATTGGAATCCTGCATCCGATTGGAATCCTGCATCCGATTGGAATCCTGCATCCGATTGGAATCCTGCATCCGATTGGAATCCTGCATCCGATTGGGATCCTGCATCCGATTGGAATCCTGCATCGGATTGGAATCCTGCATCCGATTGGAATCCTGCATCCGATTGGAATCCTGCATCCGATTGGAATCCTGCATCCGAATGGAATCCTGCAGACGTTTCGCCAAAATCTCACTTGGCATCTTCAATGTTCGCGCTCCGAAAACACTTCGAACACTCACAGTGTGCGTAGGTTTTGTGTAAACAGAATGACCCATCTTTAGGTCTGATTTTCTATTGATAAGAATATCTAAGAATTGGAGATTATTATTACCTTCTAGTTTAGTAAACACTTAGGTTAGAGTGTATAGCGTATGGAGGGTATATAAGTTTAAGAATCTCGTAAAATTAAAAATCTCTAATCCCGACATTGTAATTCTAACAGGAGGTAAAGAAAATGCTACGGTGCTCATTATTTCCAATATATTGAAATCCGAGAATCTGAAACCATCTCATTCTCATTTTAATTGAAAATGCGGGTCTGGGACATATTTTGCTTAAAACGGTCAAATTTTTGAACAAACGTCGGGATCAGCTATGGGTTCATCGCGAATATATTTATTCCAGAAGAAAACCCTCGACATCTTCAATATAAAACCAAAATTATGGAAAGGCTACGATGATGATACTTTTGTTATTTTTTCTCATCCCTCCGAGATTTTTAAGATGCCCCGATAAGAAAAAATCCTAACTATCTAAATCTGGGGACCTAGGGGGCCATGGTTATTCCCTTATTCCCTTACTTCAACTTCAAAGTGAGCAGGCACGCCAGCTTGAACCACATTCTGTTCCTAATTCAAAAATGGTAGGTACTTCTAGCACTACTGGCAACTCCTCTTCTAAAAGCCGGAGACAATTATGGCCATTTAGCCTTTCTCGTAGGAAAAAGGGTCCGATTAAGTAATTTCCAACAATTCCAAACATTTATCTAAAAATGTTGTTTGACTTGATGTTTAAATTCTACAATTGTATGGGAGTTTTAATCGACCCAAATGTGATTATTGTGGAAATTTATGATTGCATTTTTGGAAAAGTTAGCTTCATCTGTAAATAATATTTCTTGGTCAAACTAACTAAACTAACCAAAAAGCATTGACAAAAATTAACACGCAAGGGAAAATCTTTGGGAAGTAACGGTTGGACTCATTGAATTTGATATGGGCTCAATAAAAAGTGAAAAATTTTCCAAACCTAAACGGGCGAGATATTTAGATTATTTCCATTGCTTTTTAGTACTAAGTTCAGGATTTTCATCAATAGAATTTAAACACTGCTTCTTCAATTTCTGGAATCCTTACAGTCAGATGGGCCTCTTTTAAATGATTATTTGCCCTTAATGTACCTGTTTCAGTTAACCTTCTATGTACATTTGAAAATGTTCACCTATCTGGTATGACTATTAGGAAAGCGCTCTTAATATAGCTAACTTCCGTCAGCCAAACCATACATGAAATGCATATCAGCCAACTCTTCATTAGTAAACTCGACCATTCTTTTTTAAAATAACAATGTTCGGATATTTTAAATACCAAATTAATAACACCCGAAGAAGTGAATTTAAAAACTGATATCAAACAACAATTTTTTACTGACACAGCCTACCACAATAATAAGTAATAATTATACAGATTTGAAAAATATACCTTTGAGTTTACGTTTTTTGAAGTATTTTAATAAAAAAGATAGACAATTACTGAAATAAGAATTAATAATCATAATAATTCGATGCATGCAGTTAACGATATTGTTATGACATTTCAGACCAGAGAGGTTTATTTTTTTCAACAAAAACCGTATATCGGATTAAAAAAAAACAAAGAAATGAAATTTCTTTAGAAATGATTGGAGATTGTAAGAATAACTTTTATTTTAAGAGAGATTAGTGACGTACCATCAATGTCTGTCAAAATAGACTGGTGAAATTCCGTACCCCCGCCGGCTTAGGCTTAGATTTAGTAAATAAATTATTATACATACACACATACACACACAAATATATATATATATATATATATATATATATATATATATATATATATATATATATATATATATATATATATATATATATATATATATATATATATTATATATATATATATACAAATTATTAACTTTCGAGACGAATCCGTTAATTAGAACACGTGAATTTTCTCGTTTTCCTCAGCTGTTTATGGAAATTATGGAACAATAAAATATATTAAAAATTGAAGACATACCCCCTCCCTTGCCGGCCACGCTGTACTGGTAGACGTGAAGGGTGAAAAGCAGGTGAGAATCTCTGTTTGCGGGCGCCCTATTCTCTACAGCGGCGTCCAGGTAATGGGCGGCCTTTTCTGCGGTCGGCACCCTCAGCTCGCAGTGGGGGGGGTTGGTTTCCGAACAACGGGTCATCTCTCAGATACAGTCCCGGGGATTGTTCGGAATCTGAATCCAAACCATCCTATTATTTATTGATTGGACGCTTTCGTCCACATTTCGAAACTAAAATGGACTTAATCTTTCGTCAGTCACATGGTTTTTAATCCTACAAGCTTTAGTACAAAAAACCTACGGGGATTTTCAGAATTGTATAATTTATTTTATTTTCCATACAGACAAATGTTTTAACAATTTGTACAGGAATTGTCAAATAAAAAATGGAAGTGTCATCATTTATATATACATATATATGTATATATATATATATATATATATATATAGTATATATATATATATATATATATATATATATATATATATATATATATATATATTCTCACGTATTCACGGATTCACGGATGGAAAAATGTGATGACACTATATTCCGGGATATCATCCGTTCGCTCGTTGAACTCCGACTGGAATCCTGCATCCGACTGGAATCCTGCAAATCTTGCATCCGACTGGAATCCTGCAGACGTTTCGCCAAAATCTCACTTGGCATCTTCAATGCTCGCGCTCCGAAAACACCCCAGTGTTCGAAGTGTTTTCGGAGCGCGAGCATTGAAGATGCCAAGTGAGATTTTGGCGAAACGTCTGCAGGATTCCAGTCGGATGCAAGATTTGCAGGATTCCAGTCGGATGCAGGATTCCAGTCGGAGTTCAACGAGCGAACGGATGATATCCCGGAATATTATATATATATATATATATATATATATAGTATAGTATATATATATATATATATATATATATATATATATATATATATAATATATATATATATATATATATATATATATATATATATATATATATATATATATATATATATATATATATATATATATATATATATATATATATATATATATATATATATATATATATATATATATATATATATATATATATATATATATATATATATATACATATATATATATATATATATATATATATATATATATATATATATATATATATATATATATATATATATATATATATATATATATATATATATATATATATATATATATATACATATATATATATATATATATATATATATATATATATATATATATATATATATATATATATATATATATATATATATATATATATATATATATATATATATATATATATATATATATATATATATATATATATATATATATATATATATATATATATATATATATATATATATATATATATATATATATATATATTCTGGCAAAATACTAACCTAACATTTACATTTGATTTGATTTTTAATTACATTACATTACTATTTATAATTATGGCACACATCAAAAGTTAACAATGATGAAAAATATTTTTTGGGCGCTATGGTATGTGTGTTTGCCCAGTAACGTTGTTTAAACAACAATTAGAGGTTGTTTCCTTAATTTAAAATTTATACCATAGAGCTTTTATTATTATTTTTTGTCCCATTCCAAATAAACTAAATCAAAACCGCTGAGCCTATATATGTTTCTGACATGCTACATGTTTGGGGTTCTATAGAGCCACATTGTGTTGGGCAGCAGACCTTATGTTAATACCATGATTAATTTTTGTTTTATAATAATTGTTTTTTAACGTGAATGTTATCTCTGAATTGATATACAGTTGTTTAAATGTAAGTTTTTTAACTTTTTTAAAACTAGGATTCCACTTTTTTACTTTTTTACTAAAAAAATAAATAAACCTGTGAATTATGTGATAGAATATGCTGATGACTAACAGGAAATGCTAGCTTCAGTATTCCAAGTATCTGCGACGCGACTTTTGCATAAAAACGTTATAAATATGAGAACAATATACTTTGTGAACAGTTCTCCTTGTAACGGATTAAATAAAACCTCGTAGTTCTGTTTGTAAAACAAAAAAGGTGTTTTTTAAAAACGAGACCCTTCGTTCGAAAACCTTAACTGGCGCAGTCGTGGCGATTTGGGGTAGTTTTCGGTCAAAGCCACGTCATCGGGACGATTTGATCGCGAAACGTGGGTTTCAACCCTTAGACTCCAAAACGAACCAGTGATAGACTGTCTGACAAACCCAACGTGATTGAGTTCGACGAGGGCAAGGAAGGCAAGAAATCACCCTCGCAAGCAGTGCTACGCAAGGAAAATTCCAATAGGAAGAATAGGCTGACGACTAAGAGAAATCAAGGTTAGTGCCCAAAATTCCTATTGGTCCTGGTTAGGACGGTGGAAATAATTTTAGGATTCTTGGCTTTAAGTTCAATTTTAAGAAATTTCAAAATCAATTAAATTTATGAACGAAGATAAAGACGTCGACAATTTAAGTGCGTTTTTTACTTCGTTAAATTTAGTGGAAAAGAAGGTAGAGAATAGTCAAATCAATTTGAAAATGAATTCTAATCAATCGTCAAATTCAGGTGTAAATTACACTTTGTTAAAAATGTTTATAGATAGTATTCTGCCATATAATGGTGATCCCAACATTTTAAATAGTTTTCTATCAGCTGGAGATTTCCTTTTTGATACATATGGCCAAGGAAACGACGACATTTTAAAACAATATTTGTTAAGAACTATAAGAATGAAACTTGTTGATCGCGCACAAATTCTAGTAGGCCGTAGAATGGAGTTAGTAACGTGGGATAATATTAAAGTAGCTTTGTTAAATTGTTTTGGCGATAGACGAAACTTAGAATGTTTAGAACAGGATTTGTTTATGGCCACCCCCTTTAAAAATGAACATCCTTTAAATTTTGGGAAAAGATTACAAGTTTTAAGAAGTATCCTTGCTCAAAAAATTAATGTATTTCCTGCCGATACTATGGATAATGCAAGCAAAGTAATTCATTTACGTCCATACCATCAAATTTGTTTAAGGACGTTTATTAGATGATTACCAGGACAATTAGAAAGTATTATAAGACTTAAAATCCAAGCTGTATAGAATAAGCTATGACCCAAATTATTGAAGAGGAAAATTTCCAATATAGACAAAATATCTTCAGAACTCCAATTCAATCAAAAGTTTTGCCTCATACTTCTATCGAACCCGTTAAACAATTTTCACAAAATCCAAATTATTTTAGTAACGAAAATTTTAATTATGTACAACCGATTCGCCCTACAAATTATTTTCAAAACAACAATCACCATAACCAAAATTTTAGAATTAGGCATGATCAAAATCAGTTTACTCCCCAGACTAATAGTTTTCCCAGAGGTCCAATTAATATGTTCCAAGTTCCAAGAAATTTTCCTACGAATAGGCAAGTTTTTGGCCCACCTAAAAACGTATTTAAACCGACAGGTCAGGTACTTAACAATAAACCCGAACCTATGTCAACAAGAACAAACTATACCATACCACGCCAAAATAATCAAATTAACCATTTCAAACCTACTGAAATTGAAAATCAAATCTCTCAAAATTTTACAATAACGAGTCAATGGCACTCAACGAAATGACATTAGAAATGTATACCGAAATGAATAATAGTTTACCGTACATCCAGATTAAAGAACCCGCAATTAAACTTTTAATTGATACTGGTTGTTTTCACTCGATTCTTCGACCTTCCATTGCAGAAAAATTTTATTATGAAAAAACATATCATTCCCCAACTATTATTAAAACAGGAACTGATGAAAAGGAAACTCTATTTAAAGCAGATATTCCGGCTTTCCCAGAATTAACCTAAAATAAACAATTAAGGAATAATACAACTAATATACCAATTTTATTTAGACAACCACAAGACGAAATATATTGTATTACTGTGAATGCACACGAAATTGTTAACGTAAGAATTCCAGTAACACAAAACAATGATGTTATTATTCCCGAGCAAGTCATTGAAGGTGTCTATTTTCCAGAAACACTACTGCAAAAAACGGTTTTGCGCAAACAGAAGTTTTTAATTACACTGAGAAAAATATAACGCTAAATTTCCCACAGCCTCTAAATGTTTTATCTTTTCCGGACTTTCATAAAGAAAATTTTGAACTTTTTAATTTAGAACACATCTTACCAAAACATAAAGAACAATTTAGTAAATGCGACTTTTCCAAAATAATTCGTTGCGAACATTTAAATCTAGAACAAAAATCTGCTATAATAAGGCTTTGTAAAGAATATAACGATATTTTCCATCATGAAAACAAAAAGTTAACATTGACCAATAAAATCAAACATTGTATAAGAATAACGGATGAATTGCCTGTATACACTAAATCATATAGATACCTCTTTATCCATAAAGAGGAAGTTCAACGGCAAATTAACAAAATGTTAGACGACGGAATCATTAGACACAGCCAAAGCCCTTGGAGCAGCCCCATTTGGGTAGTCTCGAAGAAACCTGACGCCAGCGGCAAGCAGAAATGGAGGATTGTCTGTGACTTGCGTAAGGTAAATGAGAAAACGATAGACGACCGCTATCCATTGCAAAACTCACCAAGCCATTCACAAATTGCCTAAAGAAAGGAGCGACCATCAAACACACGCCAGAATTTATAGAAGCATTCGATCTTTGTAAAAATATCTTGTGCAATGATCCAATACTACAATATCCAGATTTCGAAAAACCTTTTATATTGACAACGGACGCCTCTAATGTTTCTATAGGAGCGGTTCTCAGCCAAGGAAAAATTGGTTGTGATCTTCCCATAGCCTTTGCCTCTAGGACATTGAACCCGGCTGAAAGCAATTACTCAACCATAGAGAAAGAATTATTAGCAATCGTGTGGTCAACAAAATATTTCCGACCATATTTATTTGGCCGAAAATTTGTGATAGTTACCGATCACAAACCTCTACAATACCTGTTTAATATGAAAGAACCAAATTCCAGATTGCTAAGATGGCGACTAAAACTGGAAGAGTTTGATTACACAGTTCATTATAAGAAGGGCAAACTGAACACCAACGCTGATGCCCTGTCACGCATCGAACTAAATATGATAGATAAAGAGTCACTTTTCGGAAATCCTGGAGATATTAATGAAGAC